GTTTTTTTTTTAATACACAAGTTTAGTAGAATATCATGTTCAAAATGTAATCAGAGTTCTCTCATACAAACTAAATATAAAGATATACTTATTAAATCATGACTTAATCTGATAAGTTTACTCATGAAATTCAAGATTCTAAATTTGATTTATTTCTAACTAAATCGATAAAATTTTATTAATCTAATTAGATTCTTAATGATATAGTTGATCTAAACAAATTAATCCAAACTTGATTATATCAGCAACAAGAAAAACAATAAGATTTATTTATAAATTATTAAAAAATAATATAAATTATATATTAGAATCTTACCTAAAAACTTAAACTTTTAGGTTGAATTGATTCTTTGATATAATATCATAGACTTAATGATCAAACGATCACGAATTCAAATCTCACAATTTCTAATTATTTGATAAAAATCAAACACAATGTAATGGCTGTTTGTGTAAGTTTTAAGTTCAAAATGCTTTTACTTGAGAGAATATGTTAGAGAATAATATAAATTATATGTTGTGATTGTGAGATTCCACATCGGAAGCGAGTGTCCAGAGCCAGGGCCTTATAAGCGGTGCTAGTTGCTAATATATTTACACATTTTAGGACCATATGTGGTTGCCAGGAACAAAACCGTGAGAGGGACCTGAGTTGAAGCCTGGAAATGAGTTTACTGGGAGGCCCAAAGTGAACAATATCCAACATGTTTAGCCAGGCTGTTATATTTGGTATCAGAGCCGAGAATGACTCGTCTTCAGGTGGGGGGATTGTGAGATTCCACATCGGAAACAAGTGTCTAGAGCCAGGGCCTTATAAGCAGTGCTGGTTGCTAATATGTTGAATGCATTTTGGAGTCTTGCATGACTGCCAGGAACAAAACCGTAAGGTGGACCTGGGTCGAAGCTCGGAAATGAATGGGCTAGGAGGCCCAAAGCGAACAATATCCAACATGTTGGGCTGAGCTGTTATATTTGGTATCAAAACTGAGAACGACTCGTCTTCAAGTGGAGGGATTGTGAAATCCCACATCGAAAACAAATGTCTAGAGCCAGAGCTTTATAAGCAGTGTTGGTTGTTAATAAGTTGGACACATTTTGGAGTCATGCATGGCTGCCAGGAACAAAACCGTGAGGGGGACTTGGATCGGAGCCCAAAAATAGATGAATTGAGAGGCCCAAAACAGATAATATCCAACATGTTGATTCGGGCCATTACAATAATCTTATCAAATAATTTAAATTATTGAATAGAAATGATTTTTTAATATGAATTAACCTAGTAACCCAAAAATCCAAATTTTTTTCGAGTTGATTCATGAATAGGGTCTGACAACCTTGAATAAAAACATCACTTGCAAGCAGTGGCGGAGGTAGGGGGCTGGCAGGGGCTGGCCCCTGCAAGAAAAAGTTTTCCAGCTCCTTTCTTATCCCTCATTTAATATATATTTCAATAAAATAAAAATTTTTAAAATGTTTCTTTTAATTTGACCCTCCTCAAATTTTTTTTCTTGCTTCACCCCTGCAAGGAAATTGACATGGTGTTAACCAGGCCACCCCTGCTTGCAAGGAAATTGACATGGTGTTAACCAGGGTGTGACTAACATAGTAAATATGGTGCAAGTTCCATGTCAATGACGAAACAAAAAGGGCGATGGGGACACATTCACGGGGCAATAATACAGCCACCTGCAAGAAAATGTCCTAGAAACCCAAGCAGCATGCACAGAAAAAAGCAAAGAAAGACCGAAACCACCAAGAAAAAGGAGAGAGTGGATGCAGTCAGCTACACTCCGCTCCATGTAATCATTGGAAAAAAAAAAAAAATTAATGGCACCATCTCCTCCCCCCTTTGGTGTCTCTGATCAGCTCCCACTTGATCCCATTACACAACAAGAGTGTCAAACGTAATCTAGACACCCACCCAGGTACATTGAAAATGGTCCGAACTCCAAGTTAACGAACCCCCACTTGCCCTGAAATAAATAACAAATAAATAAATAAACAAAATAGACACTTGACCTCCTTCCAATCACCGTCATAAATAGTTAAATACACGGCATCCTTCCGTGTTTAATTCTTTAAGGTATTAATAAACATGTATGTTTTTTGTTAGATAATATATCCCTTAAATATTGTTTTGTTTTGGAAATGAAACTAGCAATTAGCTCTCAAAATTCTTAAAAATCAAACAATATTAACTGTCCGCTCTATTCTCTTTTAAAAAAGCAGTATTTACATTTCACTTTTCAAAATTATCAACAAAATTGTAAATTATTATCTTTTAAGAAACAAATATTTGTATCTCTTAATTGCAATAACATAACGTTAATTCAAATATGAATAAATAATCAAGAATATCCTAGCATGAATCAAAAGAATAGAGACAAAGGCAAAAGTAGTAAATGCATGATAATAATTAACAATGGAGGAGCCTCATGTGGACCGAGTCCACAGCCGTTACTTCCCTTGGTCAAATTGCTAACGCGCTGAACCTTCGAATCCATGCACCAACACTGAACCAGCCAGCCCTTCTTTTTCCCATTTATATCACTCCCCCTCTCTCACTGTCTCCCCATATCCTCAGCCGTTGAACAAGAGCCAAGATTCTTTCACCTCACTCCTCTTCTTTCTTTAATTCTCTGTTCCTAGCAAAAAAGAAATGGAAGATAGCAACGACATTGTAATTCGTGAAGTTTGGTCGTATAATTTGGAGTCGGAATTCGAGCTGATTCGTAAATTAATCATCGAGTTCCCGTATATATCAATGGACACCGAGTTTCCTGGTGTTGTTTTCCGACCACCAGTGGACCCCACCAATAACAGGAATTATTTCCAACAGGTGAAGCCATTGGATCATTACAAGATCCTTAAATCCAACGTTGATGCTTTAAATCTTATTCAGGTGGGTCTCACGCTTTCCGATGCAGAGGGGAACTTGCCCGATCTGGGAACTGGAAACCGGTTTATCTGGGAGTTCAATTTCAAGGATTTTGATGTGGAGCGTGATGCTCACGCTCCGGCCTCGATTGAGTTGCTGAGGCGACAAGGGATTGATTTTGGGAGGAATAGAGAGGAGGGGGTTGACTCGGCGAGGTTTGCTGGGCTGATGATGTCGTCTGGGCTTGTCTGCAACGAGTCGGTGAGTTGGGTTACTTTCCATAGCGCATATGATTTTGGGTACTTGGTGAAGATTCTCACGGGCCGGGACTTGCCGTCTGGGTTGATGGAATTCTTGAAGGTGTTGAGGGTGTTTTTTGGAAATAAAATTTATGATGTCAAGCACATGATGCGGTTTTGTAAGAGTTTGTATGGTGGGTTGGACCATGTAGCCAGGACACTAGATGTAAACCGGGCGGTTGGGAAATGTCACCAGGCTGGTTCGGATAGTTTGCTGACATGGCATGCTTTTCAAAAGATGAGGGATGTGTTTTTTGTGAAAGATGGACCGGAACAACATGCTGGTGTTTTGTATGGATTAGAGGTGCTTTGCTAAAAAATTAAGTGCATGATTTATGCATTGATTATGTGATTTGTTAAAATAGAAATTTGTAAATTAAGTTGATGAGACTTGGAAAATAATTAAAGAAATTCTCTTAAGGTATCCTGGTATTTGTTGACTATGGTTATATTGATTTGTTGACTCGGCAAGTGAAAAAAATAAAATGATTTTATTTATTATTATTATTATTATTATTATTGGGACTAAACACGGAAGTTTCTGAAGCCTGAGCACCCCCTGTCTGATCTTGCATTTCCCTTGACACCATTTGTCAAATGGTTGAGTCTACAGCTATGGTCTAGCTATTTGATGGACTTTGGGTCTTTTAGACGGGCTCCTTTATTGTTGTTTAGTTAGGTCTGTTTTGTAAGTGTAATGCTGAGCTTCATCAGGCCCGTAATCATCTTAAGGTCTATTCATTTTTAAAGCCCATATTAATTACCTGTTTGATTAATAAGAAGGGGGGAAAATGAATATGATGCCGAAAGAAATTAATCAACTATTACCAATAGAGCACTGCGTGTTTTGACCACAATGGCAGAGTGAAATGATCTCGTGAATGAAGATTTCAACGAGCACTGGTATAAAGAACTACCTTACAAGGTGGCTATTAAAGTGATCAGTGATGCTATATATTTACTCGTAAGTTCTTGAGTTTGAATCTTAGAATCAGAACTTAAAAGAAATGCAGGAGGCTGATATAGGAAGATTTAATCTCCATTGATATGTAAGCTGATACCTGGCAGCGTAAACAATATTGGCTGTGAACCAAGGAGATCCTTAAAGGAACTTCAGAAGGCTTTATGATCATTTCAGATGTACATAACAGTAATGGTTCTCATGTGTTCATATTGTAAGATCCACCTAAAAGTAATTAAATGCTAGCAAAAACGTTGTAAAAGCGGATTATGATGAATTATTGTCATAAGATTATGTGGTCGATCCACTCTCAGTTCGAACATTTTTTGTTGACCTACCAAATGACAGTACGTCTGGTAACTTATGATGACTGGTTATGCCAGCTAGCTCTTCACCGTTGCCACCACATGTTGCTGCATTACTACTTTCTGACTCTTCAGAACTCCTCCACCGTAACACATTCAACACTCACCAATCGCTTTGGCAATTAGCTCCCAAACCTACAGTTTGATTAGCAATATTATGGGAACGGATTGTGACTGATGATTAATATTGTATCTGCTTAATTACTGGAAGAAAAGTTGCTTTGATGTTTTGATTATACATTGCAAGAAAGTACTGGTCCATCAGACCAGTACAGTCATGCTCTGTCTTTGATTGAGAAGAGGGATTTACTGTACAAATCTCTTTTGTGAGGTTGCAGTAATGCTCATCATGGAAAGCTCTAAATGATCTCCTGCTTTCCATCCAATCACAGCAAAAGATGCATCTCTTACAGTTAACACACTTGATCCCTATATATGCAACTTGAGAATAGATATAGAGTGCATGAGTGAGATATAGAGACACAAAGGTCAAGAAAATGAAACTCCCTTCAATCTTTAAGAACCAAAAAACCAATTTTGTTTCATGGAAATGGCTACCGTTTAGTATTGGGACATTTCCATTCCAATCTAAGGTGAATGCTTTAAAAAATTTCTACTTTGCTTTACGTGATGCAGCTAAGTTCATGACAATGCTGAATTCCTCATGGTCACAATCAAAGACTATCTCCTTGACGCCCAAGGAATCTAAAGAGGACTCGCTGGAGATTGCTGTTAATAAGGCAGTGAGATCAGAGAGGTTGTTCTTCGAGCCAGGTAACACGAGTTCCATACTAGATGATCATAACGATGAAGCTAACAAATTCCCATTCCCTGAATTTGTAGCACTAGCTATGGAATCTGAAGATCCTTATGAGGATTTTCGCAGTTCGATGGAGGAAACTGTTGAGACTTGTGGATTAAAGAATTGGGAGGATGTGGAGGAGTTATTGGCATGGTATTTGAGAATGAATAGGAAGCAGCATCACTGCTTTATAGTTGAGGCCTTCGTTGATCTATTTGCTGCTGCCCCGTCGTCTTCTTTTTCTTGCCCTGTTTCTCACAGCGACTCTGCTTCTTCTTCAAAATCAAAAGATTTGTGGATGGTTGAAGCTAAGAGGTCACAGCCAGCTATGGAAAAGGGGAAAAGTCCAAAGAATTGCTAAAGTTAAGGTTCTAGTGCTCATGCCGCTCCAAATTAACCAGAAAACTGAGATAAAATATCGTGCATCTAATTTTCAGTGTAGAACCACTCATTTTGCATGTGTACTTCTGCGAAATAACTGGATTAATTACTTGATATCTTTAAAGAGTTGAGGGAATCAACTCACCTCCTTTACTTCTATTGAACACTCAAGAAGAAAACCTTCTTCTTCTTTTTTATGTTTTTTTTCCTCTTTTTTTTCAATTTTATTATTCAATATTTGTTTGATTTTAAATTTATTTTTGTAAATTATTTTAGTTTGCTTCTTGTAAAATTATAAAAATATAAAATTAACATCATAATATTTGATTTATACTTGATTTTACAAATTTTTATTTTTATTATCATATAGAAAATCTTAAACTTAATAGAAAATCTTAAACTTAATAGAGTTTATAATTTAAATTATGAATGTAGCGTGTTATCTCATGAAGCTCAAGTATATTATCATTTAATATACAAAAATTATAAAGCTAATTTAAAATTAATTAAATAGTTATCAATTAAATTTAAAAAAAAATTAATATAAAAATTTAATATTGAAAAATAAAAAAAATAAAAAATAAAAAAAAGCCACCAACCATGAAGCAGGTGGGCTTCACCCAACTGTTTTAATGTATAGGAGAATTTCTCCAATAGGACATATTCTTTTTTAGATAGCAAGGAGAGCCGTCAGCCACCACTCGAGTTAACGAAGCTCTGGGTCATTGTGGTTAGGCATCCTGGTTCTGCGCTCTGAAAATGCCCAGAAAAGTGATAATTAATTATAATAAATAACAGTTAAAGAATGAGACGTTGAAGACAATGCATTAGCATCAAATCATGCAGAAGAGGACTCGAATTAGATGGCTTGCGTGGAATTAATTATAGATTAATTAAAATTACGTTCAACAGTAATAATTTTCAACTGATATTCTTAAATCCAACGCTATAAGAGATTTAGGAATGAGAGCAAATTTCTCTGTCTAGTTCAAAATTAAATTAGACCTCCCAATAAACATTAAAAAAAGAGATGAAAATCATATTTAAAATTAAGGACACGTTTTGGCATGGGACTGATGAACATATAAAAATGGCCTTTTTATTTCTCACTTTCTGTAAGTTTAGTAGCCAAATTAACCTCCATTTTCTTTCAAGATTCCAGAAACACAAAAACTGACCGAAATCCTTTAGCATCCGTCGCCGGGCGGCATCACAAAGCCGCCTCTTGCGCCATCTAATCATGGCCATCTCTTCACAAGCTCAGCTATAGATAGATGGAGTTATCTGAGATCGAGTTGGTGCTGTGATATTTGTGAAGTAGACGTGGTAGTGGTTATGGTGGTTCATGCGACAACTGGTAATGGATCAATGAAGTCGAAACGATGTTCAAACACTCAAATAGGTTTTGGAAATCTTGTCTTGATTTGAAGAAATATAATAATAAAATAAAGAGCAGATAGACTCTAGGTGCCCAGGGAGGTGCAGGTTTGGTGGTTATGTGGAGAGAAAAGAACCTGTGACATTTTCTTTTCCATGGGCTAATTACATCTTTGGTTCAGAAGATCAAGAAAATCTGAAACAAAATGGATCTTGTAAAATTGATGTCTTTGAGAAAATAATGCTTTTGAGGAACAAAACACACGTCAGGATTGATTCGGATATAAAAACCTAGATTTCTCTCTTGAGTTACGAGTCAACTGTTTTAATCTTTCTATTAAGAAAGATGATCGTGTTTTTTCTTTTCTTTTTTCCCAAGATTTTTGACTAATCGAATCACCAAAAATAGAATAAATTTGATCAAATCCATATCTTATATCTTATCTAATTCAATTAAAACGAAATTTGTATCACTTTTAAATTTCCCGAATCCAGGATTTGACGTCTATATATGATCATTTCAATAAAAAGAACTTTAGAAATTAGGCTGTGCCAATATATATATATAAATACACAGCAACAAAGAGATTGCCAACCACTGCCATTAAAACAGCACAGCTAGCTATAAATGCTATATATATCTATATATATATATATATATGGTTATTATTATTTACATAATCTGTATTCAGTTGCAAGAAAAATAAAACCTCACCAGCTGCCAAAGCATTAAACAATATAAAATCGAAACAACCTTGAAGGTTCATCTGGCATCTCTGAGGTGGGCTTCTTTCTTTATTAAATATTATAATCTAAGAGTCTCATATCCTCTTTTCTCCACTACAAATCCCTGTTGCGCCCCCTTATCTTGACCAAACCCTACCGACTACCAATCAAAGTTTCCCACATGTGAATTCAATGCCTTCACGTGGATTTCACGCGAGCAATTTCCATGCACAGCTAGGATTCTTTCATTTTTTGACTCGCATCTAACTGAGCACAGGGTTTCTTGACGATCCTCTTCGAGATGATCTCATTGCAGATCTCAGCGAAAGCTTGAACGATGACGCTATGGTGGCAGGGAGAATTCAGCCCCAAGAAGCAGTTGAGGAGTTCTTCAAGATCATTTCTTGAGTAGATATTTTTCTCCACGACCATTTGCACCATGGAATGCTTGAAGTCTTGAAAGGGGTCGTTAGAATATTTCACAACAGCAATGCTGTCAATAATCTTGGATGCTTTTGGATCGGCTTCAGATTCGGAGTTTTGTGATGATGAAGTGTTGTCTTTGTTCAGAGTGATGGTGGTTGAAGTGCAATCTTCTTCTTCATTGTCCATTAATGAGAAGCCTACACTTTCGTAGCAGGAGCTTGAAGATGAACAATTAGGGTTTGGATCTTTTTGGGAAATTGAGGTTCTGGGTCTAGGTTTAGGTTTTGGTATCGGCTCGTATACATCTGAGAGTTTCGGCCTGCCACAGCCACAGCCTGTATTGGATGGGAGTATGGTTTGAAGGGTACTCTTTTTCTTCTTTGAAAACATTGAAGAGGAAAAAAAACAGAAAAAAATAGAGTTTTGCAAGGTTTAGTATAGTGTAGCAGGCTGGAGCTTGGAGGTGATCTTGATAGAAGTCCTTTTCAGAATCAACTCTAAGGCCTTTGGGGACTGGAGGGGGGGGGGGGGTGGGGGGGGGGGGGGGGGGGGGGTGTTGGGGAGTTGTTTTCAGATAGGAGACATTTTCTTTGGTGTTGTTGAGAGAAGGCTTTTATTCCTATTAGTTCATTTAACCTAACTTATTAGGGGCGGGAGGGAGAGAGAGAGAGAGGGGGGTAATGAGCCTTCGTGAAGGGACTTTGGCATTTTCTAAATGCCTTTCTAGAAGCATTTTTTTTTTAAATGGTTTCTATTTTCTCATGGACTTTATAGCTAATTAAACTATAATTGAATCAAATTACATGCTATCATATACATATATATATATATATATATATATATATCTATATATAATCAAATTATTAAATTAGATGTATGATTTTTATTTTTATTTTTAAATCAAACTAGGTTTTAACTTTATAGATTAACTCATCAAATCAATCATTAATTTTAACTAGATTAATTTTTATTTAATTAAATTTAAAGTCAAACATGATTAAATCTTAAATCCGCAAGACACCAAATTATCATACTTATCATTATCGGAACATGTTTGGAAAAGTCAAAATTACCATAGTTAGAGCTTCCTTTGGCATTTTTAGATGGGTTAACCAAATCAAATCTATGTACAAAGCCTATAGTAAAATCATATTATGTGATAAACCATTGATGAATGGTCCCAGGATTCCCCCACATGAAATTTCCATTCCATGTGACATGAATAGAAAACTATTAAGGGCTTTGAATTGGGATTAGCAACTAGCAATCAAGCCATAAGAATTGCTCACCGGCGTTCTCAATTCATAATGACGATGACTTCCATATAAAATTATGATATCAACACATGTAATTAATTTGGAATGATTACAGGTAATTTGATGCTGCAACTTGGAGAAATTCCTTTTTTAATTGCTTCCTGGGTGTTTTTAGCTAACAAGAACATCGACATTATTGTATTGATCTCCTTCATGTTGATATATAGATAAAACCTACCCCTTTGAGACAAATATCACGGAAATGGGGATATAACCTCGATCCACGCTCAAGATATAGCTAATTGGATGTGAAAGGTCATTGATCAGGAGCTGTTCTAACAGGATTCTTGTGACTCGACTTTAATTATAGCTAGCTAGCTGGGTCCAGTATGAACAACGCCTGCTAGATCAACGAACTTGGAATCAATTTAAACCATACCATTAATTTTGGGACTAATTGATGACATGAAGGAACTCCGTAGCTAGGTGCAATGTTTTGTATTCAAGTTTATCTTAAACACTATTTAAAATTTAAAAAAAAAAAAGAAAAAGAAAAGAAACTGCCAGGCACAATAATGGCAGCAGAAAGATTGTTCAACATCAATTACTAAAGAAACCGCAAAATTCAGCACATGAACTTAGTAAAATTATTGCCACAAGGAATTCTGATTCGCTGGAAACGTCAACGAAGACTAATCCATGAGAATTCAAAGAATTAAAACATGACGAACTAGACAGCATCAAGAGAGCATGTGTGTAATCTTCCCAACTATGTTGCTGGCTGTCGATGAACTTCAGACAAGTATTCATAGGAGATTAACTTGTTCCAAACGTGACCCCGAAGGTATTTTCTTGAAGCAGTGGGGGCGGTGCTTAATTATGGTTTTAGGCGTAGGTTGTAAAGAAGCCCGTGCAGCCTTCTGGACTGGAAGATTGCTTATTGCTATCTCCTCAGCTGATTGAATAGCACTAAAACCACCTTCTGATAGAGGACTGGATGATCCCATGGCTTTTGACACAGAAAATCAAGTCCTTTACTGCAGTAGACGTAAAGGGGAGCGAAGGAGAGCTTAGAGTATACGATGGTTCTTCACGAAGGGCTCTTGGAAAGCTACAAGTAGTATACGTACGGATTACTACTTGTTTCCTTTTTTTAATATAAACCTATCAAACCCAAAACGAAAATTAAAAATAAATAAATAGATGTTCTCAGTCCAAAACCTATGCAAAGGTATATGGTTTCAAGATTTACGTAAAAAATTAATACTTTAGTAACAATAAACGAACCCAAATCTCTCACGTTGGTTAATTATTTTGCAATTTAAATCCCTGAATTGTCTATAGTTTTCTTTATGAGTTACAAGATTTGTTTTTTATTAATTAATTAATTACTAGCTTGCAAAAATATCATATCTTCCTATTTATATCAATTACTAGGTTACAAAAATATCATATCTTCCTATTTATATCCTTGATTTTTACTTTTCTACTTGATAGATATAAAAAAGATAAAAATATTTTTTTGGTTAGAAAACAAAAACACATAATAAACGGTCTTCTTAAAAATTCTAGAATATTTTTTGTATGTTCAAAATTAAAAAAAAAAAAGATAAAAATTTTATCATCTATATTTCTTTTATTTCAAAATATGTAGTAAGTATAAATATCAGAACTCTTTTTATCCTTTAATTCTTCTTTCAGTATTAATAAAAGAATGAAGGTTTTTTAAAAAGAAAGAAAAGAAATGAATTTAAAATTGGGTAGCATAATTTTTCTTGGATGGGAATGATAAAAATGGAGAAGGATCTGATTAATTTCATTTAAGGTAAAACATGTAATTTTTTAGAATCTCTTCTTTGGGAAATATTGGTGTGCTCGTGCAGCTGCTACTTGGCCCTTCCCATGGCCTTACATGTTTCATAAAGCTAGAAGCCATAATGACCGAATTGTCCTCGATTTTAACGAATCAATTTTGGTGGGCCCATGACAAATACTCACCAGCACGTTTTTAGGTTAATTAACCTAAATCAATTCATTTTTATTTTTTATTTTTTGAAAGTAGATACAAAAAATAATATCATTTTTAAAAAAACAAATCTGGGTTTTTGTAGTAACTTGCCTCTGTCTATATCCTGGGTCTGTAGGTTAGTAAATCAATTCATAAGTCGAGCTGGATTTCATATTGCATAACAAACAATTTACCAAAAAAAATAAATTAGTAGTTGAAGAATGTGTTTATTTTTTTATTTTAAAAGTGTCTTTTGGAAAAAATTAAAAAATATATATATTTTAAATTAATTTTTTATGTTTTTAAATCCTTTTAATATACTGATATCAAAAATATTTTTTTAAAAAAATATATTTCAATTTTTTTAAACAAAAATACTTTTAAAAACAATTATTTTTTTTAAAACAAAAATACTTTTAAAAACAATTATTTTACACCATTTTCTTGTATAAAATCATTGAATTTGTCCAAAATCTTATGTTTTCCAAGCCCGTCTCAATCCAGTCCACTACAAAGTGGCAAAGAAAACTGTGAGGGGTAGTAATGTGATAAAGATTTTCAACTTTTCTTTTTTCTTTTTTGCAGTAAATGGCCTTTCTTGATTGGCTTAGGTCCCCGATAACATCTCTCTTTTTTGGCTGTTAAGTTCCAAGAATTTTTGTCACTGGTTAGAACTTTAGAGCGATGGCAATGACAACAACAACTCTGCAAGTGCAGCTCCCTCCTTTCTAAGAGCAATGGCAATGGCAACGGCAACATCAACTCTGCAAGTGCAGCTCCCTCCTTTCTCTTCTGCTTCTTTCCTGAACAACAAAAGCTTCAAGAACTACTGCTGTTCGACTTATATTCAACCTTCCAATTCAAGTTTTAAACGCCTTCAAACTAGAGCTATCAAAGAGAAAACTGAAGAAAGGGAAGCCCCATCATCATCATCGTCGTCATCTTCTTCTTCTGTTGAGGAAGTTACCAAGAAGTATGGTCTTGAAGCTGGTCTTTGGAAGGTAGGTTCTCCCTTCTCTAAACTCTTTTCTTTGCTCTATTTTGTTTCAATTCTTGCCTTTCTTGATTTGAATTTTAAGTGCCCATGATGTGGTTTCTTGGTTTTCTTTACTTTCTTTGCATGAATTGCGGTTAAAGAAAGTATAATAAGAAACCTCGTTCTAGCAAAGCTCTATTTTTTTCCTTTCAATTTAGTGTCTTTGCCTATTTGTAGATAAGAAACTAACTGGCCAAACCTCCTTTTCTTCAAAAAATGAAGATATTCAGCTCAAAAGAGGGAGAGAAGGAAGAAGGTGAGAAAACTAAATCCAAGGGAGATCAAGCCAAGGAGCTGCTAGCAAAATATGGAGGAGCATACCTGGCCACCTCAATTACTCTGTCCTTGATTTCCTTCTCCCTCTGTTATGCACTTATTAGTGCTGGCATTGATGTTCAAGCGTTGTTGCTGAAGGTATAAAGCATCATCCATGAAAACATAAACTGGACTTAGGGTAATTTTTATGTACTGGAGTAATGGATTTGGAACTGGTTATTGTATTTTGCAGGTGGGAATTTCTACTGATGCAAATGGGGAGAAAGTTGGGACATTTGCTTTGGCATATGCTGCACACAAGGCTGCATCTCCGATTAGGTTCCCCCCAACTGTAGCTCTTACTCCCATTGTTGCTGGTTGGATTGGAAAGAAAGCTGACAAGGAGAAGTAAATCATCTGGCCATCCTTCAGATTTAGCATACAGCATTTTTTTCCTGGTCTAGATTGCAATTTTTCTTTGATGTCAGTGATAATTTTCGTGCAATTCTCCTTGAGAATGAGACAAACTTTTATAGTGGGTTTTTCTTTTATTCAAACTTGGACCTTGCATGTAAATCATATTCAATATGCAGGCCTGTAGCTTGGACCAATTGGAAACAAAATCTTTGACTTCAGATCTTCATCAATCCCCCCAAACGAATTATTTCATAGTTTTTCAGTCCCTTGAGTTTGTAACCAGCAAAATGACCAGAGTTCCCCTACTTGTGTCATAAGCACTGCCAAACATTGGAATTTAGGAATCGTTGCATCACAGGGAAACAATCAATCCATTGATGGAGACGGGGATGATTCAAAGAGGTAGCCAATGCCCTGCAGTTATCAGGATATGCTTCAACCCTGCCAATTGCTGCCGTGTTGTAGCACAGCAGTAGAGATGCAAACACATCAGAAAACAAATCTATTCGGCTTCAGTTTCAGTTTCTAAACAAGAGTAATATTGTCATCGCATTATATATATATATATATATATATATATATATATATATATATATATATATATATATATATATATATATATATATATATATATATATATATATATATATATATATATATATATATATATATTGCTGCCTAAACAGATGTCAAGTCAGTAAACACAACAAAGCCATGACGTGGAGAAATATACAAGGACCGATCAGGAGTCAGTTGCCTTCTTTATTTGCCACTAGATCATACGTATCATGTACATTACTTAAGCTGTACAATGAACTAGCTAACTCCCTACCGTTCTTTAGTTTCTTTTGAGGTACCTCAATAGGGTAGCTTGCAGGAACCTTCAATCAAACCTCAGAAGCACGGCAACATTAACGGTAGATGGTGGATGTCATAGGTTCTTGACTAAACAAGACATTTGCCTTTCAGTTGATTCGTCGACATTTCCCTTTCACCCGGCAGTAGTGTTAGCAGCAGGAGGCACTTCTGTTGGATTAGATGGAGTTTGAGGTTGTGGTGTGCTGAAATCTGGAATGACATAGTCATTATGAAGCGTATCCAAGTCATTCCATTCCACCACAGCTATTTTTGCAGTCAAGGAACTAAATTTTTTTGCTGGTCAATACTTTATGAAGCATTAGAACACATAAGGTTAAATACAATGTAATATCTTAGCAAGGATACGTTCGTTGTGCCACATGTCTGTGATGCTAACATCAGCATCTGATAAAAGCCAGTAATCTGCATCACTCTGTAGATAAACAATGAAATTAGAACCTGGCAAAACTTATAACTTTGCAAAAGAAAGTATCGTTCTTTAATAACAGATAATAAGGAACATGCTAAAGAACTCTAATCTTTGTTGAAAAAAAGAACAGCATGTTAAACCAATCAATTATTCCCAGGTCAAATCCTACTATTTCCAGACAATTATCTGAACATAAGGTGCTGTCCCTATCCATCATGCTCAATTGTATGTGCTTGCAAGTGTTGTTGACATTCCCAGCAAACAAGAGCAGTTGACATCTTGCATCTTTCTGAAAACAATGACAGCAAAAAGAAAGAGAATTTACATTAACATCTGAGGGGACAATCTTCATGATCCCACTCACAAAGTCATGTGAGGTGTTAAGTTCCGAGCACATTCTATGACCATCTTGTTCTTGCATTTCAAACTCCTTTGCTCTGCTCTCCTCTGTGACCATTGTAGTAGCAGGATTTTCATTAAAAACTAAGGTTGATGAGTCGCTTGGAGGTGGTTCAGCACCCTGAATATCTTCAAATTTCTCTTCAAATTGACTGTGGATGTGGCCGCAAGAGAGAGAGAGAGATCAGGAAGTCAGTTGCATAAATTCTTGAGTGACCAATTAGTCAGCACTCTGCTAGAACGAAGATTTGGCCTCACCATTTTCATAAAATAAAGGAAAAGTTACCTGACAAGATAAACATCTATTGGACCCATTGTACTCCTGAAGACTATCCTGTATCTCCTCTGGGGATAATCAACTGCCTGCTGAGGAAAGGAAAACCTATAACAAGGAACATATGTGCACAAACACTGTAACTTTTTTCCTGAAATGACTACTTTTGGGATTACCTCATCAGGATCTGGAACTTCTAGAGTAGTACCATGTGGAGCTTTGATTGCTATCAAGGTTTCATTCTGTTAACAGAAATAAAATTACATACTAATTGCGATAGCAACAACCAAATTTTGTTTCAGGAAATGCAGTGACATTCCAAGCACCAAGCCTATTGCTTGGAAAGAAAACCAACCTGGAAGCCAGGTAAAATCTTGATGTCTTCCTTGGTGACAAAAAGCCACCTAATATGGTAAAACAGCAAAATGAGCAGTTATTTAATTAAAATAGGTAACTGCTGTGCGAGTTACTGATAATTCATGCAAACTTGAGGAGAATGTTTACTTTTGATTTTTTTCATCTACACTGAGGTCCCTCAATCTTTCTTGCATTTCTCTGCAGTAAATCAAGCCTCAGCACAAGATAGAAGTTTCAGAAAAGCAACGTGGGAATATTGCATAAGCAGAAGAAAAAACAGAATGACCTTGTCTGTTCATCTAATCTGCGTTCCTCAATGGTCAGGTTTTCAACTTCTGCCTGCAAGAAAAAAATAATCATTGACGAAGCAAAACCCTGTACTTCCTAACAGGAGTTGTGTTTTGAAAAAATGCATGATCCATTGTTTTGTGACTGAAGATGAAGTCTCAACCTAACTAACAAATTCATAGCAAATAGCATCTGATGCAGCCCTAGGGATTCAAATTTAAGCATTATATTGACCCTACAGCCTATGTTGCAGGTGGCGTCCCAAAATGAAGCTCAGAAGGGACAAATTTGCAAGGATAGCCTATCTAGTTGGCATATGAGGCACTGTTACATTTATTTTCTGTTCCATTAAATCATCAACATTTCCTAACCATGGATGGAGGATTTACATCCAAACAGTCCCAGCCAGCCAGCAGTTCTAGAACTGCAGTTCAGAAAAAATGAATTGGATTAACTATTATTTTATTGGTTATTTATCAATTTAGAAGTTTTCATTTGTTTTTTAAAAAAACAAAAATCTTAAAGCAGGTTATCCAGCATTGGTTGGATATATGAGATTTTAGATTATATGCACACACTAGGGTTTTGGTGTGCCAATATAAGCACAGTGTTTGATGTATTAAAGAGACCTTTTGATGAATGAAACTAGAATTACAATTCTTCGTTCTTGTGGATTAAAGAGGTGGTTTCTTGTGGGTCCAAGCCTCATGGAGTCATGCGGTTGGCCAGACTGATTCTAGGTTTCCTAAGCTTATCAATTATTTCTCTCTTTGTTCTAAATAAGCTGGCAAAGTTGATTCTAAAACTTTCCATGAAGGAAAAACAAAGTTCAAAACAGCTATAACAAAATACAGAAGCACACTTTAAAAAGAGCTTTGCAAAGGCTAATAATCCATGCAAAAAATGTGCAAGCCAAGAAACAAGTTGTCGGTTGTCAAGATTACAAGAGAGAGGAGGGGGGAGAGGAAAGAGGAGAAGAAAAGTTGTTGGTTGTCAATAACTGTATACCTGCAAAGTAGCAACATTATTACCATCTCCCTCCCTTGGCCTTGATACATCATGTCCCCTGATAGCATTCACACAAAAGTTAATCATACATGAATTTTTTTGTTTAATAATAATGATGATGGGTAATCATGCAACAATTGTAGAGTTCAAAACAAGTGACATCAAATTTGTTAAAAACAAAAGGGATTTAAGTCCATACTTCCACTGGATTCTGTTCTTGAGCTTCTTTTCTATGAGACCAATTCCTTCTAGAACATTTGTTATATCATATATCCGCCTCTTTTGAACCTGAAATGAAATAAAACCTTCAAATAACAGAATTTTACAACATGATATAAAAATGGATGGAAACTGAACTAAAGTAACCTCCAACGTATCAGCAGCTTTATTAAGATCAAGGATACCGTCTTCAGCACGTTTGATCAAATTGATGAATTTCTTAGTCAAGAGACCTGCATAAGAATCACAGAATATATTACCACTCTTAGTGTGGTTTTTCTTTGATCCACAAACTATTTGAAACAGAGTTCATACTAATTACAGACTACTCTTTGTTTCAAAAGCAAATACAGAAATGCATGAACAGGAAATATTACCCAGAGAGCTGTCATAGCGAATTGGACCAGTTGGAGTAACATTATTTCCTGGGGAACCTGCCAATTCAGAAAATGTTTGTCACTACATGTACTTACTTCAACTTCCTTCTTTTCACCAATAATAACAATAAAAGTACAGTCAGAAGAGTGCTTGCAAAGTAAAAGAAATTCACGAACATAACTACTTAGTTGTTGGTTTATACTAAACTGACCAGTGACTAACAAAACTCTAAAATAAAAAATACGAGATACCAGTGCAGAAGTTTAAAACAAAAATCCTCACCAAGAGCTCCAGCAGCACTCTGAGATGCAGATTTACCGCTCCTTGAGAGTCTCGATGTTTTGGGTGTCTTTCCCCCTTTTCCTGATACAGGTGTCTGGAGGGGGCTGGTCACTACTTCCATATATCCATGACCAGCATTCCACTCACTGGACTCACCTTGATGATCTGCTGCATCACTCTTCCGCTTTAATGTCTGAAATACAACATTTAGTTTTTTTTTTTTTTTCACAGTTAGTAACATATGACAAAGTTCAAAAACCTAATTACATATTAATGTCTAAAAAATCATAATAAACAAAAAATTGAGGCTCCATTCAATATTAAATAACCATATCAAGTGTACATGTGTTTGACTTCGAATGTGTGTCTATGCACATGCACCCATGTACATTAATATGCAAAAAGCATGATGTGAAAATGTCAGGACAGAAAATTGGAGGCGTGGAGACAGTTGCCAAAATTCTGAAGTTCTCTTGGCAGAAATAAGCGACCACCAGATCCTTTTTTCATTTCCTTTTCCACTCCTCTTTTCATGAAAGATTTAATGAGCAAAGAGAGAATTCAACCCCGGACACCACTTCTAAAAAAACAGTAAAACCTAAATATGGCATTGATACAACTATCCTTAATAATTATTAGCAACCCCTGTATAAAATTCAGATATCAAAGACTAGTTCATTATCATACAGCACCACATTGACAATCATAGAACAAATGAGCCCATGAGAGGGTTTTTTTAAGGGAATACACAGAATGTCTCTTGTATAACCTCTGAGCTGGCCTTACCAGCCAAACTTAGCTCAATAAACAAGGAAAACCTATAAGGAATATGCATGAATCATAAAATGTGTATCCTCAATTGTTCGGTAAAAATGAGTGAACAGGAAAGCACAGGAGATACAGACAGGGCAAGTGAAAGCATCAAGACTTTATAATTATTTGGCAAGAAGTAATGTGTAAGAATGGCTAATGCAAGCACAGGAAAATCACTGGCTCAAAGACCATGACAGACCAGCTAGAACCAACTTTATCCAAGCCACCTTCATCACTTCACTTGAAACAAGCTCATTGTGTAAGCATCACATTCCTTCCAAAATTGCATCATGATGGTCTTGCCAACAGGCAGCCATCTAGAAACTTCATAGGCATCAAAAGATCCTCGATTAGAGGGATATATTGGTTGGGAAAACTATCAAAACTTGGCGGGAAAAATATTAATCGATCATGTTGTGATTGCAGGCCATTTTTACCAGACATGTATATCACGATAAGATGTCGTAATATCTTTTTGCAGGCTTTTTATTTAGGCAAAGTACTCATCTCTTTTTGCAGTTGATGAAAGAGGAAGCATAAATCAACTTAACTAGAGAGCAAGGTCTACTGTTCTCATCAAAACCTTGGCAACATTTATCATACAGTTAGGTGTGTTATGTCTTGACATTAGGACCAGACCTGGAAACAACACAAAGCGATAAGGAAATTTCTTAAAAGTTAAAGGATTCTACAACTTAAAAGTTCCTCTACTAAACTTATGCATCATTGCCGTATCCCATTTAAATCTTAGATTCCACACAGTGTGCTCTCATAAGCCAAAAACCACGCACCAAGTTAAAACACTCGTACCATTGACCACGAGCTTTTACCATCATTTTCTACTCCCTTCGCCTCATTTGCATAGATAATGAATAAAGCTGATGAATAACAGATTCTAGTACATAAAGCTTGTGACAGCGATACACCATGGGTAACAAACAAGCAAATGCAAGCTAATAAGGACAAGAAATATACTTTATATCGTGTAATAAACACTTAAAACTCTGCAGGAAAACCGAAAATTGACAAACAGAATAAGCTGCCAGAACTAATGTTTTTAAGCAGAGAGTCAAGATTCTTTACACGAAAAAAAAAAATCCCTTAAAGTGACATGAAATGCACAAATTCAGCACCAAATAACCTCACTAACACAACAATTTAACCAAACCCTCTTCAATACCATAAAAATAACCCCAAAAATTAAACTCACTAAAATCAAATAAAAAAAATCCCAACAGGAAAAAAAAAACCCTAAAAAAACAGTCAAACAAGCAGATATTCAAAAAATAAAGTCAAAATCTCCCCCCCCCCAAAAAAAAAAAAACATTTTAAAAAAATACAAAATACCTACAGGAGGTTTAACAACAATGCCCTCAACATCATGATCAGAAACGGGACGTCGATGGTCGACACCGAACCGGTGGTAGTCACCAGGAGGCAGAAAATGTGGCTTCATAGAAGAAAACGAAAGCTGCTGATGCTGCTGGCATTGATTCGGTGCGTGACTCTGCATACTATTCTGCTGCGGCTGCTTCATTGACTGGTTGTTTGGTGCTTGTGAGTTCGACATCGCAATGATTTTGAAGAAAAAAATGAAAAAAAAAAAAACAAAATCGAGGGTTTGGGGATTTGAAGAAGAGAAAAGAATTTGAAAGTAGAAGAAAATGGAATTGGAGAGGGATAGGGAGAGGGAGAGGAGAGAGATCTGGAGAAGTTTGGATGGAGAGGAGAGAAAAATTATAAAAATAAAAAATAAAAAAAAAGCGGGAGAGAGAAAGAGTGGAAAACGAGGGAAGGGAAGAGGGAATTTGGTTCGGATATACATGTGGAGGGAAACCGATGCTTTTATTATTTATTTGTTTGATTAATTATAATTTATAATTTAATTCTTGTCTGAAATTAAACCTTCTTGGGTTAAGGTTAAACTTTATTGTTAAACTCTACTTGGTCGTGTAGGTTGGCTGGAGAATTCATTGACAGAGTTATGCTTACATTAAGTATAGAGTTGAATAAAAAAATAAATTAATTCAGTTGACTTGTTTGTGTCTTTTATAATCTAGTTAATTTAATCAAAATCCAATTTAAACTCAGATGAATATAAGGAAAAAAAATTGAAGAAAAATAGCAAATCAATGTTGTTAATAAGAATAATTAATCTAAATTTATCCAATAATTAACTCAATGATTCAAGCTTTTTTCCCACCTAACTCTAACTCAAGCTAATAAAAATAATTAATCTGGATTTATCCAATAATTAACTCAATGATTAAAGCTTTTTCTCCCACCTAACTCTAACTCAAGCTAGCCATTAATCACTTTGTTAATTCTTGCTTAATGAAATAACTTTGTTAATTCTTGCTATCCATGAAAAGTAAGGAACGTTAATTAGTTTAATTAGTTTTTTTTTTATAAAAAGAAAAAAAAATTGAAGTGGTTAGGTTCGAATCGGCGATTGGCACCTCTACTCAGAGAGAGAGAGTGACGATTTTTTCGCGCGCACTAAAAACCCAAACCTAACCTCTCTCCCCCACCAAGGCACTTTCCCACCTCTTTCTTATGGCACTGTTCACACGGCTCTTTTTTCTTGACCTGGCTTCTGGGCCTCTTTTTTCTTTGGACACCTCATGACGGCCCATTCACTGCAAATCCTTTCAAATTAATGATTATAAAATCATAAACCAGGAAGGAAGAGGATGAAGAGAGAATTTGGAATATTTTTGTCAGGACTTGGGATTATTTTGTTTTGAAATATATAAAAATATTTTTTTAAGTTATTTATGTTTGGACATATCAAAAATATTTATAAATATTAAAAAATATTAATTTAATATTTTTTTCAAGTGAGAAAAAAAGGTAGAAAATACCAAATTCTCATGCACTACCTCAATCTCTCTTTTCTTTTTTTGAATTCACAATATATTATTTTTTTATATCCTCTGAAATTTCGAAATGAATTGAATGCTATGAACAAAGTCATTTGCCAACCAAAGTTAAAAATAGTTTATATATTTTCATGTTTCCATTTACGTTTTAGCTAATACAATATTTGAAACACAAGTACAACCATGTTTCTTAAAAAAGTTAATTTTTTTCTTAAAATTAATTATTTTTATATCATTTTAATATATTAATATCAAAAATAATTATTTAAAAAAATTTTATTTTAATATATTTTCAAATAAAAAAAACTTTAAACCACAATTCCCACCCAAAAAAAAAAAAACCCGCACACCCCAAAGTCATCTATTCACCGTGCCCTTTAAAAATAAATGAACGTGGGGGGTGAATGCATATAGCTAGCTTCGGCCATCCCGTTGACAAACCAGAAGTACAAATAGTGTTGCGGACTCTATGATGAGACACAGAAAATGGCTTGACTTTGCAGTGACTTGGTTGGCCTAATTCGTTGCCATTGGACTTAGATGCCCCAGCTTTTGACTTTTGGCTCCACCAAGATAGAGAGGGCCATGACGAAGAAATGATGGCAAAGTGTGCTCTGCACTCACAGCTCTGACTAACTTGAATAAATCCAAAAGGCTGCAATCAATTTACTCACCACTACTGATCTAGTGTTATTAAACTTGGCCCTGTGAATGATCCATAGCAAGTAAACGCATTTGGTAGTAGCAGTAGCATTCATAAGAGGGTGCCAGGAAACTTCTGATTGACTGCTATAGCAGATAACCTGCGATCAGTCATGAACGAAAAGTAAATTTCTCCAGCTGTGAATCACTAAAACATGATCCTAGTTTCTGATACAGTATATGACATAAAGCATTGGTTTCATGAAGAAAAAATTGCGACTTCATATCACCAATAAGCAAAACCCTCCATACAAGATTCGATCGCATTTTAGCAATCTCAATAAATTAAGCAAAAGAATAGCATGAAAAAGAAAATGTCCGTACCTAAAATAAAATCATTGGAACTGTAATCAATTTCATTGGGAGCACAACAACTACTCATACATCAACAGGAAAACAGAGAGGAAAATACGAGACTCGTACATCAAAACATCAGCAATCGCAAATCTTGAACATTCATGCAATCCCAGTTATGCAAATCCCACCTAGTGGCTAAAAGACATTTCAAGTATAACAGAAAATTACAGGAAAAAAAAAAAGAACAAACATATATACCTACATAAACAAATCCTGCATTGAAAATAATGGGCCACCTCCAGTTCACGAACAGCAAAACCACCCTGCTATCCCATTAGAACACTAATCACAAGTAGCTTAGAAACACCTTTTAAGAAACAAAACCCATAAACAGAAAAGAACTTGCATCACCATTTCTAAATAAAATCACAAGAAAATGAAAAGAATCAACTTTAGAATAGCATCATGTTAACACAACCAGAATCACCAAAATGAAAATTAGAGAGGAAAAAAAAAAGAAGCAAAACAAGAACTCAAAGATTAAAATAAAAAATTAGTTATAAGTGCTAATAAAATGTGAGATCAATCTATCCAGCCACAACTAAAGCAGATGTTTAGTGAAAAACAAACAAAAAGAAAGAAAAATTTGAAACATGGTTTTGCACACACCTCGCACCAATGGCTGAATAACATACCGATCAACTTAAATGGTTTCACACAATACTGTAAGGTACAAGACTTCTGTATATTCATCTGGCCCCTTCCCATTAGATAGAACTCTCTCAAGCATTCCAAGGTTGTTTCCAGATTTGAGGTGATCCTATATGCCTGGAACTCATTAAACCATGCTAACATTAAGGCTCAATCCAGTAAACCATCATGGTTGAGAAGAAAATTTAAACCCTAGAACAGATAGTAATTATGTGGTTTTGATTATACCAGTTGCCAAACCAGAGGATAATATCCCCATCAGGGCATATGGCAGTGCAAAAGAAAATAACAATTTCCTAATTATTTATAAAATAGGGAAAGCCACCAGATGCTCTTGGAGATTATTAGACAGAAAATAGAAGCTCACGATTCGACCCTTTCGATTCGACCCTTTTACTTGAATCTTGCATGTAAAATTCCATTTCGATGGAAGTAGACAATCTGCCAATGATTACCATCTTGTCATGGGACACATCACTTTCGGATCCCAGATCTGTCAGAGGTCACAACAACCATATACATGAATTGAGAGAAAGAATGGGAGATAAGACAAAAATGAAACAGGTATATTGCAGGAACCAACCAAGTCATCAGGAGCTCTTTATCCAGTTCTTTAATACATGAATATCAACACTTTTAGCAGTAATATCATCAATGAGAGAACCAGGAATCTTTCAGTTGACCGCAATAACCTGCAGTTAGTAGGTCAAGATAAGTAAATTTCTCAAACTCTAAACCATGTATTTAAAAAGGTGCCAAATCAAGTTCAATAACAGTATCACCTAAATATCCTATACACAACATTAAACATGTATTGCTTATAAAACTCAATAAGAAACAATACTCATAAACAGAAAAGGACTCGTCCACATTTCTGGTAGATAAAAGCAAAAGGTAACTTTATAAATACTCTACCTCTCAGAGCACGACCCAGAGAAAAGGAGGAGAAGGAATCTATAGGAAGAAGGACAGATGAAAGAAAACCTGTCGGTGAACACCCAGAGAACAGGCACTGCTGTAAGAGACTATGACTTCAAAGAAGACCATAGGATCTCCTCCAAACAGAAACTTGAAAACTGACCAATGTGGATCAAAGCAAGCAGAGCCATAAGGAAACTTTATGCAGACTTGTGAGACATTGGTGAAAGTCGAGGTCTACTGAGAAAAGGGGGGCAGTTCATATTTGTTCAGAATTTCTTGGTTCACGAGAAGCAATGGATGTTCATCAGATGTTTCCACTAGCAGCCTCATTACTGACTCATCAGGCAGAAATACTCTCTCAAACATCACATCACATGCCCTATAAGCTTCGTGAAGTTTCTTTTCCTCGCATAAGATATAAAGCAGCCAGTTCCATCTATACAGGCAAGGCACAAGATGGCAAGCAACCATTTCTTCAGATATTCTGAAGGCAGGAATGCTTATGTAAGTAGCACAAAAATAATGGAGTAACTTTTCAAAAGCAAGCCAGCTCAAAAGAAGCCCCTCTTGCACATCGTATGTAAAAGAGATAAAGCATCTATTCTCTACCAGACTCAGAAAAAGATTTCAGTAAAGTGCTGTATGCACATCTATCAGGAGTACACCTATCTGCACTCATCCTATTAAACAACCCTATTGCACGATCAATTTCACCAGCCCTGCCATGTGCACCAATGAGAATTGTGAAAGTCACATATGGATGTATACCCTCCTTTTGCATCAGCTTAAATTGACGGTGTACATCCTGCATCATATTTGCCCACCAAATCCAAATATAATGATATTGTAGAGGTAAAGGAGGGCATAAACCCTGTTCCTTTAATTCTGCATGAGCTTCGATGCTAAGTCTTAATTCCCTAGGAGAATGTGCAGAAATAGTAAAAACATCTTCTCCAGGCAAGGAAGCTTTCTGATGAAGCAAATTAAACAGCAATTCTCTAACCCTCTTAGATATTCTGTTTGTCATGTACCATCTTTTCTTGGTGCCAGTGATATTTCTGCAAACACCACTAATCCAAGCAATGTGCAAGATGAGGTCAGCTTTAATCTTGCTTCTAACCATCAAATCAACCAGTATGAAAGCATATTTAAACTCTCCCGTCCTCAGAAAATGATTGATGACAAAGGTATACAGTACAATATTTGGAACAAAACCCTCTCCCAACATTTTTTAAAGATAAACGCATCCCTCAATACTCATTTTTCTCTTCACTAATCCTCTTATCAGTGCAGTGTAAGAATAAGAACTTGGCTCGATAGCATTCTCTATCATCTTCTCAAACAAATTGAGGGCTTTAGCACCTCTTCCATCCCTAGCATATGCATTGATCATTGTCATATAGGCAACTTCATCAGGATCCAAACCATCCCTACGCATCATGTGGAAAAGAGTTTCGGCTTCAGAGATTCTCCTCTGTTGGCTTAGACAAGCAATGATGCAGTCATAGATAGCGACACTAGGTTTTGGTCCCATTTCCTTCATCTGGTCCAAAATACCAAAAGCCGATGCTAGATCCTCTTGTTTACAGTATTCATTTACCATAATCAGATAAGTCTCCAAGTTTGGAACTATGCCCTCATTTTGCATAATGTCAATCAGAGACTTGACATCCTCAAACAGCCCATCCTGGAATAGACGTTTGATCAAAGAGTTGAAAGTGAAAAGCAAAGGAATGCATCCAGCACTGGCCACATTTTTAAAGCAGGCCAACGCAGCTTCTGTCTTTCCTCCCTCACACAAGGCACTAACATAGATGCTGCCAGCCACATTACATAGATTCAAGTCAATTCTTGCGATTTCTCTCAGAATTAGCTCAATTTCTTGCTCCAAACCTGCACTGGAATTTATCTTATCAGAAATTGAGAGTGAAGAACGGTCCAACCCACATCCATTCTTGGCAATTGCCTGCAACATCAACAAACAGAGTTGAAGCTCAAGCCCCTTGGGTTCATTCCTCATGAGTACAAAAAAGAAAACATGGTCCGGAATGATTCCACTTTCCAGCATTCTTTCACACAATTCATAAACTTCCAAACACCTATTCTGCTTATAAAGAGCAGCAATTATAGGTGTATAACAATGCACACAGGGAGCCAAATTGCAGTGAAGCATGCTATTCAAAAGCATCTTAGCACAATCTAACTTCCCTTGCTTGCAATAATAACAAATCATTAAATTATAAGTGACCTCATTAGGCTGAATCCCCGAGTCACTCATCAGGCTCCACAATGCCCATGCTTTATCAAACAAGCCCATGTTTAAAAACCCATGAATTAAAGTGTTATAAGTACAAATATCTGGGTCACAGCCCTTCTTTAGCATCCTGAAATAAACCCTCATTGCCATCTTCATCTTCTTATTCTTACTGTGAGCATTCATTAGCGAGGTATACATCACCTTGTCCACAAAGAAACCTTGCACCTCCATCTCCTCAAAAATCAACTCCGCCTCCACCAACCACCCTGCCTCGCAAAGCCCAAAAAACAATGTCTTAAACATATGCAGAGTAGGCGGCAACCCGGTTCTTTTGCACATTGTATCAAACACTTGTATCGCTTGACCCACATACCGTTGATGACACAAACCATTAATCAAAACATTATAAAACCACATGCCCAATTTCACATTAGCATCACTGATCCTAACTAAATAATCAAATGCTTCCAAAAACCTATCTTGCTCGTAAAACCCTTCAAGAATCATGGTACAGGCAGCATTACTAAGCACACAATCATCACTACCAATAAGTCTATCAAAAAGCCTTACAGCATCATCTAATTTCCCTAACTTAGCCAAACAAATAATCATAGAATTGACAATATTCGAGTCCGGTTCAATACCTCTAGCAATCACATGATCACGATAAAACTCATGCGCTGATAGAGGCTCACCCAAGTCAACCAGTTTCTTAAGGAGCTCGCAAGAAATTCCAAGGCCAAGGTCCACGCCACTCGCAGAGGCAAATTCAATGGCGGAAAGTGCATCAGGGACCGTAGGAGAGCTGGCAATGAATCTCTGAATAACTTGCTGGGCAGAGGATAAAAGACCGCGGCGAAGAAGGTCATGGACTAAGGATTGGCAAAGGGAAGTGTGGTCGTTTGAGATTGGTTGTGGGTCTAAAGGGACAGCACAAGTTGAAGTAATTGGTCTTTTTTTGGGTTTGAAGTAGAGAGAACGATAGAAAGGCCTCCTTTTTATCATGTTTTCAACAATTGGATTGCCAAATTTTCATGTCAAGATTGGAAACTAATGGAAAAGAAATTGTGGGTTGAGTAAAACTATGTGAGCAGGTGATGAAATGGAAGGAGGAATTGGCGGTTTAGCCAGTTCAGAGGATTGAGATGTGCCTGCCTGGGTTTAGGCCTTGGGGTTTTAGGAGCTGATGATCAACCGTTGCATTTGTTTGGAGAGGACTTGGCCCACTACTTATGAGTGGATTAAGATTTAATCCCTATACTGCTAATATTTTATATTTTAGCCCTTACACTTTTGAAAATCATAAGTTAATCTCTTTAAGAGTTTATCTGAGTTGACTGTTAATTCCTTTTCAAGTATTAGCATTGCCCTCTTTAAATGCGCTTTGGTTTCGCTTATGGTAGGTAATATTGGTAAATTTGAGAAGAAATGGAGAATATTTTAGGAAGAAATGGAGGAACAATTCAATTATCCCCATGGAATGACTTATATTATAAACAAATAAAAATACAGTGGTTCACAATTTTCTTGTTTTTTCAAAATTAATTAACCATCATCAAAAGTACTCTAAACCTACTAAATGCATAATTATAACCTAGCATCTTTTATTACGCTCAAATCATGGGATAGTAGCAAGGTAATCACCTAAATTTAGCCAGGTCTCGTTAATACCAGACATTTCATAAGCAGTAAGCACACATCTACTGCTACTTCTCATCGAAAATGCTCTACCAGGACGGCATATCTGATTGTCTGAAAAATTTCTTGTCCCATTGGGGATTTCTGATATTACAAATTATCCGAAGTTCTTACAATGCATTTACAGCAAAACGTATAATAATTTGATAATTTCTCAGCAAATTCCATTCCCCTAAATACACTTTGTGAGAGGATCACCCCCTGCCTTGATTACATGACTATTTACCTGGAAACAAATGACCCAGATCAGGATCATCCAAGTTCACATCCAGCCACCCTTGCAATCGCATATATTCAATATAATGATCTGGTGGCGTCACTGCCCGGCAATTTCCTGGAGTAAAGCCATGAACCCTCTCAAGATCACGAGCAAGCCACCGGAGATAAGCATGGTCCAATGGAGGCACAACTTTCAAGAGAATCTCTTGCCTGTCCTGGGCCAACGGAAACACGTCTTCTCTTTCTTGCTTCGTGGGTTTGTTTCCCATGCTTGACCAGCTTCAGAAAGAGAACAAGCTAGCACGCACCTGTAGTAAATTATAGGAAGACACAGAATTGGGTGAATAGATATACTAGTTATTAATTTTATCTCATGTTTAAGATGTCTGCTTTTATTGCATCCACACAAAGCCTCACGTAATTTTGACAATGCAGCAACTTGTGGTTGATCAGGATTTAGCAACTTCCTCAAAAATAATCTTTATGAGGCAGTTCTTAGACAAATTGTACCTGAGATAGTTGGAGGCAGGATAGATAATGTGCATAAAGAATTCATCCCAATGAAAGCATTGCCAGTGCTGTAGGCCATGCTCAAATCAAAAGAGAAATGGTCCTAAATCAAATATAGAGACACTCAACATCCTGATGGCTGAGAGGAAGCTACAAACTATGATAATGTCAATCGCTATGGGAATTTTTTGAAACCAATAGTCTCCAAATCAAAATTTCATCAAATAAAAGAGTTGAGGGTTGAATCAAGCTTAAAATCTAGTCTGCAGACAGGAGCTAGTAAACCAGAAGGGATTGGTGATATGCCGCTAGTGAAACATAACTAACATCCTCGGTGGTACTAAAAGCAACAAAAATGACACTATCATTGCTAGGAATGGCAACCAGATTCAGCAACAAGCTTGAAGCATGAGAAAGAGTTCATCTTATTTGATATGGTTTGTGCCAAAATAGTGTCCCTCAACATTATCACAAGGCTATGCAGCGTGTTTAAGAACCAAATTCATGCTAAGCTGCGCCTTCAAGATTCTGGGATGTCTTTTAACAAGACATGATATCTGCCAAGTCCTTGTTTACAAATAAGTAACCATCCACTGAAAAAAGGCAAATGAGTACCAAAAGTTTCAGCATCAAGTTTCAAACCATAGGGAAATGGTACATGGCTCCAATTCTTTTGCCTAAAATATGCAAGGAAGCAAGAATCTTATACTAGATCAAATGGTTGCAATATATTTGAAGCCCTAGATAAAGTTCGTTGCATGATTAATGATCTGTGAAAATGAGAACTGGGAGTGGCACAACAAAATTCCTCAGCAGAAATTAAGACAGGAAAATTATTAAGGCTGGCCATGTAAACCTGCTGGGAGGTTCATATGATACATGACAGCTTTCTACTGGTTCGGGACTAATTTTCAATTTGGAACCATAGGAAAAGCCAGAATTATCATAAGAAGGGGCATCTTATCGATACACCATGTTCTAGTCTAGAACACAATGTGAAGGCATTAGAGATAGACGGCCAAGGGACATGTCTCCTTGTCCTTTTTGTTTTAAAAAGACAAAAGCTCTCTTCATAAACGTCTCGAAGACTAATTTATTTTATGTTTTTGTCTTCATCCTTCCAACGTTTCAGTCTCTTCTTTTATCTGTCTTTAAATCTCTTCTTTTATCTGTCTTTTCTATCTTGAAATATTAACCAAACGCAACCTTAATTCTTTTGTAATTGATTCTCTTTCTCCCTCTAATTACACCTTACAAGTTCAATTCTATTGATGTTAAAAATGTTGAAGATAAAATTTATTCACACTAAGTCTAAAACACCATGCATATACAAACAAATGATCCAAAAACAAAAATTAGATTAAATTAGATTATGTTATTAGTTTCTTTCCTTGTATATTTGAAGACAACTAATAAATGTTTAGAGAATCAATAAGATTTAAATCTCACAAATTAGGTAAGCAGCTATTTGTTTTTCCATATAAGCAATAAAAAAAAAAAACTTTGGTCATGTTATTTTCTTTTTATGGTCCAAAATAAACAAGCCAAGCCCCGATCCAAAAACATAGATTTTATTTTATTTTATTTTATTCCATTTCTTTTTATTAAATTTTATTCCATTAATTCTAAAAACAAATATGTTTTTTCACCAGCAAAATCTTCTCATTACTTTTCAAGAGTTAAAAATTTTAATTAAATACATAAAATAAGTGTTAGTTTATGTGATAATATTTTTAAGTTTTTACAGTAAATTCTAAAAAAAAAAACATAGAGATTGATTATAAATATGAAATTACTCTTAACAATTGTCCTAAAAAACACTTCTTAATGAGAAGTCAATAATTTATTGTCTTAAAAATGGAATTTGAATTGATGAAAGTTAATTTTGAACAAGCACAACAGATTAGACATTGGCCATTGTCTTCTAGAACCAACACAACGGTCTCTGACATTTTATAATGCGGTGAAACTTTAGTTCCTGTGTACTCCATTCTCGTTTTCCCTCTAACTATGCCTTACAAATCCAATTCTGTTGATTTTAAAAGTGTTTAAGCTAAAATTTATTCACACTAAGTCTAAAACATTATGCATATACAAATAAATTATTCAAAACTAAAGATTAGATGAGGCTATTAATTTATTTCCTTGTATATTTGAAGGCAACTAATAAATGTTTAGAGCATCAATAAGATTTAAATTTTCCCAAATTAGGTAAGTAGCTATTTTGTTTCCATGTATATAATCACAGAATCTCTTAAAATAATTCGATTGCTAAATTTGTCGCAGGTGAAGACACCTATAAATTTGTGTTGCATACATGAACTTGAAATACAAACGCTCTAGCATCTTCAACAAGTGAGAGTTCAGATAAAAGAATCGAAGATAATGAAGTCAATTGTCTTTCTCTTGATTTCTTGGGTCGCACTATTAAGCCTCTTCACTCCCACTCAAGGTTAGGAGTGATCAAAGTACTGATGAATAGTACTTGACGATTTGATAGATGAATTTTTGTTTGAAAAATTATTGAATATGTGCCTTTCTTTCTTTCTTTGAAAATGCAGGTCAAATCCACTGGTGCCCAAAGACGGCCAGATTTCCAGGGGGGTGTGGAAACAACGGCAGTCAGCAATGCTTAGTTGATTTTTTATCAAACTATGGTGCAAGCAGCATGCCAAAGAATTGTGTATGCAAAAATGCAGGATCTCAACGATTGTGCTCATGTCAGGTTGTTTGTCAGTAAGATTTCTGTCAAAAAAATAAACAAAATCCTGGTGCTTAGCCATGTTTTGTTTCTGAATCTGATGGATGCATAACTAAGTATGGTCAAATAAGGTAAGAAGTTGAGAAACGAAACTTACAAAACCATATAATAAGTTCTTTCTGAGTTGATAAACAATTTGTTTTGAGCCCTTTTTAATTCAGCATATAATCTCTTAATGCATCTAGATCAAGCTGCTCTTAAGCTGTCGAACTGCATGCTATATCATAAACAGCCAATGATGTATTGCTAAGCCAACTATCAAATACTCCTAGTTACAACGATTATCATTTTGACACAGAATTATAGTATACCTTCGATAAATTGACAAGTTAATAACCTCGATGAAACAATATTTTTGTTTGATCCGACTTAAATTTGAAGTTCAAATAATATCTCAATTAATTAATAAATTTGAAGGATCCAAAGGTATTTATTTATAGAGTTTTAACTGTATTGACCAGTAATTTTTACACAAAGCACCAACTGTTCTCATTGTATTCTTCAGAAAAATTATCAAAAACTGCGACATGGAGCATTCTATGAACTAGATTAAACTAAATGGTCACACCCACATCAGTATTTTACCTCATCGAGACTATCAAATGATATTTGCTAAATATTTGTTTTCATTAAACAAGACCCATGATAGTCTTCTCCTAAAATATGCAGAGAGAGAGAGTGAGGGAGGGAGGGAGAGGGAGGGAGCAAACACGACACAATACGAATCAAAGTGAGCTTATCTTTAAAACATAAGAGGCAAGAACTTGGCTTACCTTCGATTCTTGTAGTGTATGTTCGGCCTTGTGAACTGTGGATGACGACGACTGGTGTTGGATAACAGAGAAATGAAGCAAGGAAGAGGGAGTTTCGACGTTCTGACTTTCGATTTTGTTAGGACACACCTTTCTTTGGAACACGAGCCGACATGGTATAGGACAACACAGAGTATCATGTGAATCGTTTTTGTCATGTACGGTGTCTAAAGATAAGGTCACACTCTTTATTGGGACAGAACTTATTAAAATATATTTCTTATATTAGTTAGATTCATTTTCCTTAAATTTGAAATTATTCTTTGTTTTTTTTTGGATTTTGAACTTTTTTTCTTATGGCAAACAAGCAATACTCTTTCATTTAACCATGTTTTTTTGAAAAAAATTTAAAAAATATATTAAATATACAAGTTATTTCAATATATTTTTTAAATTAAAAAGCTTAAAGTATAAATTAAAAAATCAATACAAGCAAAATTAATATATTTTATAGTATAAAATGAGATATCCATCTTATTATGAAAATTATTTATTTAAATAAATAAAAGATAAATTGACACTATAAAAAATTCATAACTTAAAAAATAAACACTAATAAAATTGATTGAATAAACTCACTCTATAAAAGATATTATGTAAGGCCGAACAAATCGGCAAGATAATTATAAAATGAATATTTTTTATTTTTAAAAATAAACTTAATTTCAAAAAAAAATTATAAGTAAATTAGAATAATAACTTGAAATACTAAATAGAAACAAATCGACTAAAAAAGACTTATATTAAAAAAAAAATAGATGATTTTTTTGGACTACATGGTAAGTAATTTTACTATAGTTCAAAACACATTTTAATATAAATTGAGCTACAATAAAATATCCAAGCCATTTAATTTTTTAGGTAATTTCTTCGTTAATAAATCTCCCTCTTGAAATATAGAAACCGTTAAAATAGATTTTAATAAGGTCATTATTTTATTTTAGTATATTTTTTTAAAACCTGAGAGGGTTCCTAATAAGATAGGTTTGGATATGCTAGAACCAAAATAATTAGGTTTGGCAATTAAAAACTAACAAAACATGGGTTTGATAAAATGAGATAATGATTTCTTTACCTATAAGCAAAAAATCTTTTAAAAGATATACTATATTTACTATTTTATTAATGATATATAATGAATATTTTTTTCTTGTTGATAATATCAAAAGCAAAGTACTTTTTAACTATTCTTTTATTTAAAAATAACAAGATTTATAAAATATAAATACTTCTTGAACCATGTAAGTAAAGGTTTATAATATTTTTATTTCTTAAGAGTTTATATTTATTTCATGTTATCAATCATTCTAAAATACAAGAATAAATATAGATTACTCTTGAAATTTAAAGTTTTTTTAAGTTAATTTTTTTTTATCTTTCCTATAAAGTTACTAATTTTATAAGGTTTTTAAATTCCTTTGACTGAAACTGTTTTTGCTGTTACTTATATCTTTTATCACTAATTTGGTTTTTCTTGAGCTAAGGATAAGAAAACTATTTACTTGAATATCTTAATTAACAATACCCACAAGCTACATAACCTATTACATAAATATTTTAGGCTCTGGAACATCATCAGACACTACATGTTAATGAATCAAGCAACAACTAGATAAGTATTGTTTGTAAATTGCAAGTCAGTAGATGGAAATCTTGGCCTCAACAACCTCAAACAACCTCAAGGCTAGGGCTGAGTTCAAGCTTATTTTCATGGACATCTCTTGGAGGACAGCACTATTTTGGTGCGACATGTCCAAGGACAACAAATGTCACGCTCCTTCCTATATGTTGTGGCCCTTGCTACCACTAGGGATCACAATGGCATTGATCTCAACTATAAAATCAATAATAAAAATTCTGTATTTTTTGGGGGCAACAATCTTACATAAACATAAACTTTGTTGATGATCAACCTAAATAAATAAGAAATTATTTTATGTAGTTAGATTTGATTAAAACTCAAAAACATAAAAAAATCAAGTTTTGAGGCAAGTATAGATACAGGTTTGTCTAAATCAAATTCAAAACTCAACACTAAATAAATAAATAATCTTAATTTTTTTTAAAAAAACCACGTTAGGTTCCCTTAATAAAAATCTTTATCTGAGAATTTATTTTTATATTTATTTTGAAGATAGTATATGTTAAAGATCATCAAGAGATCCCAGAAATAAATACATAAATATAAAATTTACCACATTTTTTCCTTTATCCCCTCCATCTGTAGTACACATGGAATGTTCATGGTAAAACAATTACAAATCTTTAACAATAAGAATCAGTTGCATTTCTCTTGCTTGAACCCTAATCTCTCATTCCTCAAATCATACTCCACGTAAAAATTCTGCATCTGAAAATTCCCCAAAATCATCCCAGGCCCACCCACCCTCTCCGGCCCCGCCACCCCATCCGCCACCACAGTCAAGCACGCCACCTCACCACCGACAAATGCGAAATAATTCTCCACTGGCAGTGCCACGTCAGCACCACCCTTAAAATACAGCCTCAGTTCAGGAAACGACACCGTTTTGGCATCAGAAACATTGAAGCAAGGCCTTAGCCCTATCACATCCTCAATTTCCTTAACCCTCCTGTAATCCTTAATTTGTCTAACAAACTCATCACTCAGTGGCTCAAAAGCCTCACGTGCCATGAACGTGAACGTGGTCCCTGAGTCGATGATGACCCCACCATTGCCGTCCTCTCCCGGTGACAAGTACTTGTAAGGCACCTTCACATGGTGGCCGCCGACGGTGATTCGCCGGAGACCCAAATAGTAATAAACTGAGAAACTACTTTTGTTGTCAACTATAGGGTTTTTCACAAATGGAGTGTACACCAAGGCATTGGTTTTTTTATCAGAATCTAACTGTTCTATGTCGAGAACTAAAGAGCTGCTCTTCTTGGTGTCATCATCGAATCTATGAGAGAGTAAACAGTAAGAGAACTTACCTAGACCAAGTTGACTCGGTAAAGATGAAAGTCCACGACCAAATCCAGCAATTCCCGCGGGTTGGTGGGAAGAGATTACGGAGCACCCCACAAGGAAGTTGGGTTTTGATAGGCTATGGAGATGGAGAGTTTCTGATAATGCAACGCCTCCAGTTGTGCCTGATCCGTAGAAGATCAGATAAGGTGGACAAGTTTGGTTGAGGCAGGATTTAATACTGCAGTCTTGATCGCAGTTTATGTTTGAGCGGTGGATCCAAGAGCATTTAGGGTTTTTGCATCCAAGAAGCTTGGAAGATGAGGATTCTTTAGGGATAAAAGGTTGGATTCTTGATGATGGTGAGGAGGAGGAGGAGACAGAACAGTGCTTACATAGGTAGTGAGAGGTGCAAGGGAACCAGACAATGTCACTTCCAGTATCCATGATGAAAGAGAGGGTTTGGGGTGGAGTGCCAAAGCTGAGAGAAACTGAGTAGCCTCCATAGCTATGAGAGAAGAGAGGGGCTGTGGTGGTGGTGGTGGTTGCAGGGGTAGTTTGGGGATGTTTGAGGTGGCGGGCTCTTGCTAGGGAGGTGGTGACAAGGTGGTTCAGCTTTTGGTATTGATCTTGAAACGGGATTTGGTTTGTTTGGGGATGTTGTAATGGGATTGTTATGGAAGAAGAAATGATGGGAAACAAGGAAAGGAGAGATAGACAGTAAAGCAAAGAAGAAGAAACAGAAACCATGGCTGTTTAACAACTTGTTCTTGCTTAGTGCCTTGGGAAGAGAGTGTGGCCAAACAATTATCTTTTGTTTAAATTTGGTGTAATATTGTTGATAAGGAGACGGTATGGCCTTTTGGGACAGTGCCAGGTAGGTTTGGGTGACAAAATTTCGGACCCTTCTTGCTTTAAATGAATGATTCAAAACATCACAACTGTCAATGTGCATGCCTTCAAGGAGATGAAAAAAAGGGCATCTAGATGCTGAATGGCAAGCCAAGGATAAGATCACTGGATTAGAAGCCATTAATCATTAACGTTCTTCGAAGATGGGAGTGAGAGAGAGAGATTGTTGATAGATCGGACCCTTTCATAGAAGCCATTAATGTCCTTAAATCAGTGGATGGTTATTTAGGTCTCCACAGTAGCATTTGGATTGGGACCATTTGCAAATGAAAGAACAGCTCCTTTCTCGTGTGAGCTAATGTGGGGGGGGGGGGGGGGGGGACCATAAAGGACTCTTGGCGGTTTGTAAATCCGAGACAATGGGCACATGCACCATCTTAGAACGTGAAAGTGACTTCCTTTCCGCCTACTTGCCTTGGCTCCGAGCAGAAAACCAGACAACTGTGTACTTCCTTGGCTGTTCTCATCGGAGTTGACCTTCTGAGCAACTTTTAATAAATTTCTGTGACCGCCGTACACTTTTGAAAGGGTTTTCGGCCCCCCAATGCTAACTTTTCATCTGCGGTGCTGCTGGACAATGGGTCCTTAGGCCCTTGAGCCCTTGTAGTTTTTGTGGTGATTTGAGTTTTTATGCGACCAATTATTTTATTTGAAGGCTGCCTTCAAGACCCTGCCAGCCATCGTTACAAAAACCAAAGATATCTCGTCACCGAAGGAAAAATTTACATGACAAGGTGGAAATACAGGTAATATAGCCCTGCCGGTTCCTTGTTCAAGACAATGATATTTTAGCCATAAAATCTGCCTTGGGTAGGGTAGATGAGGACAATTTAGATAAGAAGACTGCTATTTTGCAGCCCCTGGATCACGTCCTTTCTGCGTTACAGCGCTAGAGGGTGTCTAAATCTAAAGCACATGCATGTATTAAATTCATAACTATAAGCATAACTATTAAATTAAAATAAGCTGAAATTTTATAAAAAAAATATTAGATACATGAAATTATATTTTAATAAAATTTTAAGTCAAATAAAATTTCTAGACAAATCTTCAAACTAGATTTTCGTACATGATTTGGGATATATATAAAACCATAGATGAAATTTTTCTATATTCAAGTTGTTTTGGAAATTAAACATCTTAACATTTCAAAACATATAGAGAGAACATAATTAAAGCTAGGATTAAAAATCACCCACGTATATATCAAAATCATATATTCAAGCTTCATGAAAAAAATTTAGCATAAAATTTTTATTTTTATTATTTTATTTTACCTATTTTTAATATTAAATAATTATTTTCAATTTAAATTTTTCCGGGCCATTAAACATTATTTATAAGTTTATTTCATTATTAGACTTATATTAGTTAATTATTAGTTTAGATTTAATAGCTTGCAGCCTAAAAACAAGAAGTTTTGGCATAAAAATTTTATTTTTATTATCCTATTTTATCTATTCATTTAATATTAAATAATTATTTTTAATTTAAGTTTGTCCTAATCCATTGAACATTATTTATAAGTTTATTTTATTATTAAACTTATATCAATTAATTACTAATTTAGATCTAATAGTTCGTAACCCAAAAACAATCTATTAAGGTAATTAGAGAAGCTTATATTATATTTTTTTTAGATACAAACTTCAACAAGAAGTTGTTTATGACAAAACCTTTCTTTATAAAAACAGATCATACATTAACTTATTAAAAATTAACTAAGTTCATAATATCATTTCATATTTTTTAGATACAAGATTATTTCTCTTCAAGTTTTTTTTTCCAATATCTTTAATTTTTAAATACAAAATTATTTTTAAATAAAAATTCTATCAAGCTTGATTTTTAACTTATCAAGCTTGATTTTTAACTTTCCAAATAGTTATGTACTTCATTAAAAGTTATTTGATGGCATGATCAAGAATTTTGCATCAATTGATCTAATGGCAACTCACAACTGGCAAAGTTCATATCTAATCTTTCATCACGTTAACATGAAATTCCAAATAAAGCACGTTTAACTGTAGGCAAAGTGAAATCATGCGACTCAGCAAGAACGTCAATACATTCCCATCTTATGACGATACTCGCATTTCTCTAGAATTTTCTAATAGCGTACCTTCATCGTCGGCAGAAAAAGGATGCGCTTGATAAACTAATAATGGACATTGGTCTACTGATGTGACGGATCACAAGACAACAACCACCATAAAAGTTTTCCTTGCAGTGGCCATCGGTCAAATTGATTTATTTGAACGCTTCCATCGTTTAGGCCATCAATGGTAAAGAAAGAGTTCGAAGATCTAAATGGACATACAGTAGCATCCAGCAGTAACCCTTGGGAAAACATGCAATCTACATAAACTGACGACTTTAATTAGGACAGGGAAAAAAATAAAAATAAAATTCCTCTTGCATCTCAATCACATTACATACCCAAGAAAGAAACAGAGACTTCACTGCTGCTTTGCCTTCTTACGTGCCAAAAACCGTTCTTTAGCTGCAGCCAGTGCATCTTGATTTCTTTTATGATGATCAGGATTTAGTTGATTGGCTGATGATTGTTCAGCTGGATTTTTTACTTCTGTTGAAGTGCCTGAAATTGCTTTATCAGAAACTGGCTCCGGATCTAATGGTTCAGAACTTCTTCTTGGAGGGGAAGTTCCCTTTTGATGTGCCTCTTTCACACTGGAAGAATCCAATGCAAACTTTGAGTCTGTCAGTGCACGATTTCTGTCAGAAGTTTCACCAGCTACTTTATCATAAGGCTTCTCTGGCTTCTCTGGCTTCCTAAATTCAGTTTGCTTATCTTGTTTCTCTTGCTTCTTGGACAGTAAATCTTTCGCGCCAAGTGCAACATTTTTACCGAGGTTGAAATAGAAATCACTCAAGTCACTCTTCTTAGTAACCTTTAAAACAAGAAAACATACACATCTCAGTTGGCAACTCACCAAACAGCACAGGATGTTTCTTATCAGCACAAACATATAAGCTTTATCAAGTGATATGATCAGTTCAAAACTATATTAACATTTATACCTTACATTTGATATTCATTTGACTGCACTTGAAACAAAGCACAGCATACCAAGTCTTGAAACACACACCACACGCTAAAGCTAAGCCTTAAATAATCAAAGCTGGGCATGAAGCAATGAAAACTAAGGGGATGTTTGGTACCATTACCCAATTTTGGTTTTCCATTTTAAGGAAACCAAAAACTGTTTATAACCTTCAGTTTTTTGTTTCCGAAAGACCATTTAAAAACCAATCTCAGTCTTAGTTAAGTATTTGAGAGTGTAGTAGCTTTTGCTTTTAGATCCGCTTCAAAAGTGTATTTCACTTGAAAAAACATCAATTTGATGTTTTTTCTAGTGCTTTTCGATGATTTTGATGTGATGATATCAAAAATAAAAAAACATATTTTGATACGTTTTCAAGTGAAAAACACTTTTGAAAAGTATCATGCACCACAATACCAAACACACACAAACTATTATCAAAATCACGATCGTTGTAGCAACCCAGGAACCCAGCTCCAGAAAACATTACTGAAACTTACACTAGTTTGATTTATCTCATAGGCAATGGAAAATTAGTCAAACATCTCACCGGTCCATTTCATAACCCATAAATCACAGAGAGATTTCTTTTGTTCAAAGACATCAAGTAAAAGCCCATGCACAATTCAAAGTTCTTCATTTCTCATATAAAAGTTACTGTGAGCTAGATTTCTCAAAGAAGATTGGCAAACAAAATCAAAGCATCTTTGAATACTACAACCTTCATTGCATTTCATACATGGTATTGAACAAAACCTCAATGCTTTCTAATTGGCTGATTGCATCCAAATTGAATTGAACACAACCTAACTAGGCTGCAAATACAGAGATTTCATCTCTAGCAAAACTGCCTAATTGCTAATGCCATCATATTCCCTAGCTTCAACAATCTTTGTCTATACTAGGAATGTAGACAGGTCAATTTGCCACCCACAAACTACAAGTTTCTAGTACAAACTTAAAACCACCTTAACCTTGCTTGATTTAGCATTGAATTTGATAGAAGCATATGTAACCTCACCAGGCATTAAGCCACTTTGTGGTCCATCTTTTAAATCTACAATGCCTGAATGATGAGGGGTAATAAAAATCACCTTCCCTTGACCAAGGGTAGAGACAGGCAGTTTGCGTTTGTGTCAACAAAGCAGCCTTGTTCTATGCTAATCAAAATGCAATGCTTTCAGTTTTATGATATTTTTAACCAAATTCCTGTCTATACCTACAAAGTGAGGTGTGGTTAGTTCGATCAACTTTGGATTCATAAATTTCTAGTTGTACATGTATCAAACACAATGAAGGAAATACCAAGTCATTAATGTTCTTTCATAAACAGGACTGCAGTCCTAAGATCAATTCCCCAATAAGTTGAGGAAATATATTCTAAATCTCTCCCCTCATTTGTAGGGCAAACAATATTCAGATGTGGACAAATAGACATCACTAATTCAGTTGCTCTTTCCTATTATGTTTTTTTATGTTTCCTCTTATCTCATTTGTAACGCAGACATTTCATTTTCCTATAGACAGTCATTCACCTTTTCAGGGGTCATCTTCTAAATGACTACCTTTTGATTAAAACAATCGATTATTATAAAAAAAATCCTCTCCCCTCAAGGCATCGAAGCTTGAGCCAATCAACTGATATGCAGCATTACTGCTAATCTCCTAGAGATATTTTAACAGCTATAACAAGGCTTCTATATTCTACATCATAAAATCTGTTGGAATCCAGCACTAGACTAAACATAAGTTGAACTAATTTAGAATAAAACCTGTTTTATGTTCTTTTACGCAGACAAATACAGACCCTTGATGTGTTACTTCCTTGGTGCTATCACAGATCTAGAGGGAACCCTGAGCTTAAAACTAGTCCAGAATAATCGCACGACCAACATTATCTCAAATGCAAAAACTCCAACTCACACTAATCCATCAGCAACTCACATGACAGTTTAAGAACTCTATCTATATTACGAAGTTGCATTATTCATGATTCATTGCCAACTAGCTACAGAAACATCTCAGTGTATAGAAATAGTAGCATAAACAAAAACATTCAAATGACAGCAAACAGATGCAATACTACTAGCATTTGCGAATCAGCAGATCTAGTCATTGAGAGCATGGAAAGCATTAACAAAACAGTGATGGCTTAATTAAGAGATGAGATTATATCCAATGAGGACCAAGCAGTGGCAATGTGCAGCAAAATCTTAGGAGCAGAAAAAGTTATACATACATCCTCTTTCTCCTCTCTAAGTTCGCGCAAACGATCTTCCTCCATCCATTTCTCCTGCTCTGCAAGTTTCCTCTTATAAGCAGCTGTAACAAACTTATCCTTGTCTGCAAATAAGTGATCTTCTTTACTTCTTTCTTTCGCAAGATTTTTCTCAAATATTACATCATGTTGTCGTTTTCGTTCTTCTGCCTTCCCCATCAAAGTCTTGATATATTTAGACTGAAAAAGAAACAAACATAATCATCACTCAATTTACCCCTTCTAAACTTTTAAATACCTACTCCCAGTGCATTGCTTCTTCACTCACATAAAATGAGACCCACCATGGTAATTACCGTGATTACCGTGGAGGGGCAATGCACCGCGAATACCTAATGAAATGTGCTGATACAGTCAAAATACCTCTCTCTTTTGGCGATCTAGGGCTTTCGGCTGAGCAATTTTCTGTTTCATCTCGTCATAAACTCCATCATAATCAAACACTGATGGGTCTTCTTCTAATGCTTTCTTATGCTGCTCCTCAATCTTAACAATTAAAAGAAAAAAATATACAGTAAATAAAAGAAAGTAACAAAAAAAAAAGAAGACAGTGATTGAAAAAGCTTACTTACATCTTTGAGAGATTTGTTCTTAGCAGCCTGCCGAGAAATCTCCTTCTCCACGTCGTCTTCGTCTTCGTCGCCGAATCCTAGCGCCGTAGGAGGTGGAGGCCGTGGTGGTTTTTTCTGCTGTGGTTGTCTTAGCAGCAATCCATACTTTTTCATTTTTTCTACCTAGAGCTAGGCACCCAACCGGGCTGTTAGTTTTGATCGGAAGTTTCTTTTCTCCGACGAAGGCACCGGGAAACACTGTCGGAGAATTCGAACTCCGGTTGTCTGATTGCTCCGGAGGAAAAAAAATGCAACCTTTCTTTCTGGGTGGGTTTGGTTTCGGGGTTTTTTCCTCGCTAAAGAAACATCCGGCAGTTAACTTAAACTTACGATCCTACCCTTATTTGTAATATTACTATTAGGGTGCCCAAAACAACCAAATTATCCTGAATATCCATAAAAATTGACCAGAAATTAATTGGAAAAACCGACCCCGGAAATAAAAAAAAAATCAGTTAAATTGTTTTTATAAAAATTAATTTGAATTCCTTTTTTATTTTAGATTTTAAAAATAAAAAAATGTAAAAACTAAATTAAAAAATCAAACCCAAAAACTAAAATTATACACAATCAAACTTAACCATACAACTAATTTTTCATTTAAAAAAATAAAGATTTGATGAAAATAGATCAATTCTTTTTTTATCTTTAAATTTATTTCCTTTTAACAAAAATAAAACGAAACCCTTTTTTTAAGAATCCAACCGGTGGAACCATGTGACCCCTAGCGACTGTTGTTAGTTTCGATTTAATTAAAGGGTATAATTGTAATATTACAGTCCCACGTAGGTACGCGTGTTTGCAAAGAGTGGGACCGGGGGGAGACCCCACCACTGTCCAAGCAAAAAAAAATTTACACTATTTATTTAGTAACTGTATTCTAATGTATTTGTATGTTAGTGCTACTAAGTCTGAAAATTATAAATTGGTCCTAGTGTAAGCAATTCATGTAAGGAGAGAAGAGTGATTGTATTAAATAGTGATTTACTTTAAAATAAATATTTTATCTTGCATAATTACTAGATTTCATTTTTAATTCTATATCATCTAAAATATTTGATTATTTTGACATTGCATGTTAAGATTTAACTAAAATCTTTTTAATATATAAAACATGATTATTAAATTTGACTTGTAATGTGATTTAAAACTCAGATTATGATTAATTGATTTGAGATAAATTATTTAAAATAATATCATTTTAAAAATTAAAATAGCTTTGAAATTATAAATTAATCAAATCAAGTTTCAAGATAAAAAAATAAAATAAAAGAGTGGTTATAATAAGAATTGTCGTGGATTTTATTCTATTTATATCCAAATTAATGGTTTATCTCCTATTAGTGTAAGAGCTATAATTCTTTTATTATTTTATTTTATTTAAAATCTTGGATTATTTGAACCATAAATGAGCTAAATCTCTCTAAGTAAATGAAGACTAGTGTCATCTTCAAAATGGTACTGCAGTTAGAATTTTAGAAAGATAAGTCAACGTAGATACTTAAATACTTAGCGCATTTCTAATAAAAAATATTATATTAAAGAGTCAAATAAAAAAATAGTTTTTAAAATAATATAAATATAATTTTTTAATTATATACATTTCAATGCTAAAAATTATTTAGAAAAGCCAATTATATTTTAATATATTTTATATTAAATTAATTTTAATATAATTATATAACTATTTTAGATATATTATATGTTTTAAAACTTTAGATATAGGTAAAAATTTTATAAGTGTTCAGACAATAACAGTAAAAAATTAGACAATAACAATTTTAAGTCAGACAGTAATAGTTTGAAGTCAAATAATAACAATTCAGAGTCAAACAGTAATAATTTAGAATCAAACAGTAATAATTGAAAATTAGACAGTAATAGTTCAAAGTTAAACAATAACAGTAGACTTTCATATGAATATTATAAATAAAAATATAAAAAAATCGAGTTATACAAACACTTGTATATTGAGATGCTGCTTATCTCATGTGTTGAAATGAGAAGATAAACTATTGGTCAACGACTATAAATATAACCGTTGGTCAACAATTATTTATTTTTGTCATTTCTATAAGAAAATGTATAAATGATTTTTCACATAATAAATAGCTAAAATAATTATCTATTTTCCTCATTTATTGAAGTAAAAAAACAAAAAAAACAAAAATTAAAAGTACAATTTTTAATATTTGACTCTTCATTTAGCTTTCTTCTTAAAGATGCTCTTAGAGAATTGGTTTTTTTTGGCATCAAAGAAGTGATATTCGTTACAAACACAGTGTTCAATTTAAACATGTTGGAATAATAGAGGGGTTGCCAGTGATCTTTATCCAACTGAGTCAACTAATCGCCTGCCTGCTTGCTACCGCCCTTACAGTTCTAGCATCATCTTCTCCTTTTCTCTTTATATTTTTAAGTGAAAATTAGGTTTTAACAGTTTTTTTAAGTGTTTTTAAGAAAATTAATTATATTTTTATGTTGAATTAATTTTTTAATATTTTTATTTATTATATTAACAATAAATTTTATAAAATAAAAAATATTATTTTAATATATTTTTAAATAAAAACAATTCAAAAAATACCAAACAAATAATAATATTTTTAATTAAAAAAAATATATATTTTTATATTTTTTAAATTTATTTATAATATTACTATATCAAAATAATATAAAAATATTAACAAACAATAATTTAAAAATTTAAAACATGATGAGAACATGATGCCATCGATGAAAGAAGAAGAAGCTGCTTTTAAGCAAAAACAGAGAATTAAATGAAGGAAGTAAGAGAAGTGGTGGTCTCTGTCTCCAATTCGATTGTACCGATGACATCTCCACCATGCCACCGCTGAAAGGCCCCTTCTTTTCTTTTCTTTTCTTTTTTTCCGTTTGTTCTATGTATGATTTTAAAGGAGGCCAAGTTCTAATCTTTTTGGGAACTGACAAGGAATTTTTTCATGCATCAAATGGGTTTTGTCAATTGGTATCTAGAAAAACTTTTATGTTTTGTTTTTTTTTCCGAAATTAATAACCCATTTTGCTTTCTGTTGAATTTTATATTCTAATGGATTCTCTTTTGTTCAGGTTGGTTAGAGCTGTTCACAAGAAGGGAGCGAACATTATTCTCATTCAGGTAGGGCGGTTATGCTGATATCTCTTTGCTAAATATGAAGACAACTTAGAAGATCAAATGAAATGAAATATTGGTTGGCATCACTGCTTAAATGAAATATGAGTTCTTTTTCTAGCAGTTTTGAGTGATTGGCAAGATACTAGTCTCTTGTTGCAGCATGCTATAGGAAATGAAAGTGAAATTGTTGCCTAGCTGTGAAATTTGAATATAAGATTTCAGGGTTGGTTGTTGGATATTCTCTATCGGAATTTTGTACTTTCTGGAACCCAGCAAATTTGAAGTCATTTTGCATTAACTAGATTACTTATTTCCCAGTTGAACTGGTTTTCCAAGCTAAATTTGCAAAGATTGGATAAGGTCGAAACATTCACCTTTTTGGGCCTTTTCTTCTGGACACGCGCGCGCACTGATTTCTTTTTTATTTGCTTTGGTATCCAGAAACGGAAACGAGTAGGAGCACTATTTCTATTTTTTCATTTTTCCTATAAAGTAATTACATGATGGAAAGTTTGAAGCAGCTGGTGATTTTTTTTATTTTTTAAACGTTAGCAATATTCTGGGATCAGTGGTTTCCAGAGGAAGTACGGGCTATGGCACTGCAGGATGCAGAGATATTATTGTACCCCCGCCGCCATTGGTTCTGAACCTCAAGGTCAAGGACTTGATTCTCGTGATCACTGGAAACGAGAAATGCAGGGTCATGCTGGGGCTAATTTGGTGAGTTGCTGTACTGGTACACTGGCATTGTATTATATGTTTGGTTTGTCATGCTGATTCTAACATGGTTTTTTCTATTTTGATCCTTATTTATGCACGCTTTCTCTAAGGATTTTACCTTTGATGTTGTATGTTCCGCTTTATTTAGATACCATCATCACCTAGAGATTCCCACAACATCTCCACAGTGTGATGTTTGTTATGGAATGCTGCCACAAAAAAGGTCTTTGATGTATGTCCTGACAAATTCAATTCAGGTACTAGTAGTAGCTTCAAACCGCACTGGAAAGGAAATAATCCAGACAGAGCATGGAAACAGCGGGATCACATTTATGAAACTCCTTTATAGCAGGTGTTCAATTATTTGATTTGCGGGGCAAACTCGTTATATGAATGAACATGTAACCATGGTGGAAGAAAACTTAATATAAATGATCTGACTGACAGGACAAGCAAGGGAAATTGTTGCAGCAGCTGATGACAAAGAGGAAAGGAAGCTGTTCTTGTTGCAAAGTTTGATCTGGAGCAGATCAAGTCAAAGAGACATAGTTGGGGTGTATTTCGTGATTGGCGTCCGGGTTTATACAAGGTTCTTTTGACATCAGATGGAAGTGATCCGGTATTGTGATTTAATATATTAATTCATTATATCTCTAGAATGAACAAGAGAAAGGGGTGGGTAACGGTAGATAAAATCTGAGCTTGAACAAAATATCAAAAGGCAAGTGCTTGGGCACATTGACTTGAGCTCCTTACCTACTGTGGCTCATAAAACATCACTCCATTACCTCCTGTTACTTTTCCTTTTTTTTTACTTCGTTGTAGAGTTTTTCTTTTGTAACATGTATCTGTCGCAATCCACTGGAATCCATTCCTGGAAAATTGCTACGTCAATACACGCCATAATTTTTATACAATAATGCAAAATGATAGAGTTGTCCCAAGTGTTCATCACCTTCACATTTGGTCATCTTGATATCCATGTCTGGTAGCCTGAAATCATTGCCCATGAGGAAGAAATCACGCACATGATTTTACATAGTGTTTAGATAGATTTTTGTCATGTATTCCTCCTAAGTTCTAATGAGCTAAACCACGCCAACTTCTTGGCAATCATACTCGAGTGATTGGTAGAGCTTTTCTAAAGTATCAAATCCACAAATTTAGACTCGCAGCTACTTGGAGTTTCAATTTGCTCCACATAGTTTTTTTGCAAGATATAAACATATTCAGTTCCTTTGGATTTGGGGTGTTACTCTTGCCATGTGTCAGGCTTTTTTGAAGGAATCTTCTGTTCCCATCCCTGGAATATTCCCAATCCAACATGTTTCTAGAATTCTTTCTCTCTCAGCATCTTTCATGTAGGAAAAAGCTTGCACCAAGAATCTATTATGGATCGCATCAAATGTGTCTGGCGCCAGAACTTGTATTATTTTGGATTCAGGTCGGTTCTTTATCACGTGCTTTCTCCTTTTCTTTTGTCTAGATGTGCACTGAGCAATCAATGTCAATTGACACAGATCATTTTACACTTTAGCAGTGTATTATTTACTGTTTTCTGAGTTAAGAATAGCTAAGATACAGGACTGTCTTTCAAGTAGTTACATGCAGAAGGAAAGTTAGAAACTAAATAGGTATTGTTGTCCACAGGTCTTCCAGTATAGGAAAGTTAGAAACTAAGGAAAGTTTTGGTCATGCATGCCATCACAGTCTTGAAACTTCTTCATTTCTACTTGCCCCATCCCCCCCACCCAAATGAAAAGAGATGAGACTTGTATACATCAGTCACAATCTACACTTTCCATCTTCCAGCTACTGAAGAAGGTGACTGAAGTTATTGAGGTGAAAGTCAATTTTAATTCTTTGTTTGTTCTGGCACTGCCATATTCTTATTTGACTATTTGAGTAAAGCTGAACCAGTGTAATTCATGATTTAGAGTGCTAGCTATCTTTAAGTAATACAAGCATATAACAGCTACTTTGAAGTTCCAAATTCACTCTTTATCTGCTTTGAACTTCTTTTTTTTCCTTGTTCTCATTTCCATACGTAATCTGCTTTTAACATTTTTGTCTTGTTTAGATTAGCACTTGATTTTGCTGTCTTGACAGTCAGCTCTGGAATCCAGGATGGCCCAATCAATTAGCCAGGTGTTAGCATGTTACTGGATTTTGGAGCCATCATATATAAACATGTTTCTGTTAGAAGACAGACTGGATACCCATGAATATGGCTACAAGTGGGGTTTGGTTTATTTCTAGCGTTTGGTAATGCATGCTTTACACAAGTGCACGTTTGGGCTCTTTAGGTGTCTTTAGGTGTTTTTCGATGATTTTGAGATCTTTATATTAGAACCATCCAAGAACATCAATTAGGCTACTACCATGCATAGTATTTTTGCCTTCAAAACATTTATATTTGATGTGACCTTTTACTCAAACTCTCTTTCTAGTTGAATGATAGGCATTTCATTATGTGTTTTTTTGGTTGCCACTCATTTGAAGTGATAGTGATAGAACTAGAACCCAAATGACATGTTTTATAGAGCATTTCATTATTTGTTTAAGCCAGTAGTGACTACTTGTAATAGGAGACAAATTGAATGAGAAACTGACAGTTTCGAATCAGAGATTGCTGATATTAATTCTTATTCATCCAACTAAATTTGCTTTGCATTATCGTGAAGATGGTTGATGATCCGTGAACAAAATACACTGAAATTGTAGAGGGAGATTTCCATTCTTGAAATGATCTGAAAATTGTCAGTTGCAAGAAGGAAATGGATATAGAAGGGGAACAGAAGAAATATAGAGGTTCAAAGGAGCAGAAAAGGGGATTGAATATAGATTGTTAAGCTATCTGCCTTCTCTTACTTATTTGTAACTGGACCACAAAAGCAGAAGCTGTGTTTTTTTTTAAACTGGAAAGCAAAAGTGTTCCTACCAAAGAAACTGTCATTGACTTTCATGACCGCTTCTTTCAGCCTTCTTTTCATCCATCATCATCATCGTTGCCTTTTTCCTCATCAGATTCTTCCTGCGAATCAACTTCATAGTCTTCTTCAACTTCTTCCTCGTCTCCTTCATCAATGGTTTCATCATTCGGATGAACAAACTGCAGCGTCAACCTCCCATCCTCTCTACATGCATGCAGAAACTCCAAGGTAGGCTTCCTCACTTCTTTAAGGACAAACCTACCATCATGCCTATAAGACTTAAAGATAACCTGAGGCTTTCCAGTCCTTCCGATACATGAAATTGGTGGGGGGAATGCCCTTCCACCTGATCTTGGCCTGCTGAGATCCTCTGCTACAGAACGCCTTGTGATTCTTTCTTTCTTCTGGTGTCGCCAGTCATCATTTATATCATTCTTCAAGTCTTCAACATCATCAGAACTTTCAAAACCAAGCCCTTCGGTACATAGTTGCAAGCTCTCATAATTCATTCGAGAAAAGTTATCACCATTCTTATGACAACCTGTGTACTGATGATTCTTCAGAGCGGTGCTCGAGACAGAGTCCAATATTGATGGGCTCTTCTTGACCTCCATGCAATCATTCTTGTCGAGTCTTCTTGTTCTGGCATCCGAGTTCAAATCTAGGAACGATGAAGTTGCCAATAAAGGAGGAGGAGGTGATTGAGGATCCTCCTTGAAATGAAGTTCACCGAATATCTCAGTTAAGGAGGATGGCTCCAATGGTTTTACAGGCTTGATTTGGTTCCATGATGAGAGGGATTCAAGCAGTGTAGGGTTTTCTGGCAATGGTTTTTCAAATATATGCTGGAGCCCTCCACAGGCAGCCATAGCTAGGTTTTGGCTCAGTCAATCCAGTCTAGTAGTATAAAGAAGATGAGCCTTCTTTTTTCTTGGTGGGAGGTAGAGAGAAAGAGGGAGATAAAGAAACACGAGAATGGCGTGGGGGTTGAAAAATATCAAGAGAAGATGCTTCTTGTTCGTTTGGTTAGGGCATAGAGCATCTCTTCCATTGGAGAGGAATAAGGATGGGTGGTTTTGAAGCTAGCTCGAAATTTGGTGGTCATAAATAAATGTATGCATGCAAGCTTAATTCAATTCTTGAAAAATCCCAGTGTTTAATAAATAGATATTAAATTATGTTTTACCTTACCTCTCCAAAAAATCTCATAAAAATCTCAAAATAAAAATTGATGAGGAGATGAACTTCAATCGATCAAGGAAAGCTACAAAGAACATGAATTGTGGTGGAAAGGATATGAAGCAATTTAAGTAAAAAGAGACTAATTGGAATTCAGATAGCTCTTGGAAGAAAACATAACATGTTTGGTGAAAGGGGATGGAGATAAAAATATATAAAATAAATTGATGGGATAATTTTGATCGATGCCTAAAATAATCTAATTTTTATTCTTTTCAATTAAGAGATACGAGAGGATATATATATATTATTATTATTATTTTTCTGTTCTTCTTATATCTAGGGGTGAGCAAATTCGGTTCGGTTCGGTTTTTATCTAAAAAACTAACCAAAATTAAATTTTAAAAAACTTGAAAATTCAAACTGAAACCGAACTGGAACCGGTTCAAACCGACCGGTTTCGGTTCGGTTCGGTTCGGTTTTTTTAACAAAAAAACCGAAAAACCTGTATTATTTTTTTATTGCTACTCATGACCTTAATAAAACACGAATTCATTAACATATTGTTTTTCTCAGCAAAGAAAACACACATTGCCTCTATCATAAATTTCTTCTTAAGAAGTTTGTTAAAAAATAAACAAAATCACAGAGCATATGTTAAAAAAAAAACAAAGATTGACAGAAAAAAAAAAAACCATACTTGGTGTGACACGATTCAAGGTCGGGTGTGAGAGAGGGATGTGACTGCCTGACTGGATCTGGAGTTGGACTCAGGAGGTTCGGTGAGCCGGCGTGGTGTGTGTCCTACAATTCAAGATCGGGTGTGACTACGTGAAAGAGGGACGTGGTCGCCTGGGGTTTGAAGATGAAGATGCTGGGAGAGGATGTGGCTGGCTGTGGTCTAGTAGATGAAGATGGTGGGAGAGGGATGTGGTTGAGTGCTTGAAGATGAAGATGCTGGGAGAGGGATGTGGCTGCCTGTGGTTCAGTAGATGAAGATGGATTGATTTCATTACAGATGTGAAATTTTGAATTGTGAATTGTGAGTTGAGGGAGTGGCACAGGAGCAAGGAGAAGGACGGCTGGAGCAGGAGAATGGATGTTAGGGTTAAGAAAAATAACAAATTTTTTTTTGTATTTATAGTACCCCTTAAACCGAACCGGTTCGGTTCGGTTGGGGTTTTTCCGGTTTCAGGTTTTTCCGGTTCGGTTCGGTTCGGAAATTTTTGTAAAAAAATTAATCGGTTTAATCGGGTTTTTTTTTCGGTTTGGTTTTTTTAATTATTTTTTTCTCGGTTTTCTCGGTTTATTCAGTTTCTTGGTTTTTTTGCTCACCCCTACTTATATCTTATATTTAATTTTTCTGTTTTAAAACAGTAACCAACCAATAACTACCTTAAAAAATCTCCTTCTCACCCTTTTTTTGTCCCAAATTCGAGCAAGCATGGTTTTTTACTAGAGTCACCATCATGGAGAGAATTACTATTTTCTGAAAATTTATATATGACATTTAACAATCCAATCAGAACCCTCTATTGCTAGGGTTTCAATTTTAGGAAAAGCTCTTTTCTTTCTCTTCATTTGATTTACTGGGAGATTCAATGGACATGGCAGAATATAATGAGAAAATGCCCTCTCTTATTTTTGTATTTTAAAATTATTTATAAAAAAATCAATTCTTGTATTTTAAATTAAATTTTTTGATGTCTTCAAATTATTTGGATATGCTAATATAAAAAATAATTTTTAAAAAATAAAAAAATTATTTGATATATTTTTTTATAAAAAATTACTCTCATGCTTAAAAATAACATCAGATAACAACATAGAGTTAATTGCAGCCTGTGCTCCTAAATCGGGAGGATTATAATAACTTCTACTATTTTTTTTAGATTAACGTGGATGTCCGGGTCAGCTTGCGCGCACCACGACTAATCCCACGGGCCCTGAAGTTAATGACCATGTAAGCCTCCAGTGGCCATCACATGAGCAACCAAGAACTTGAACCTGAGATCACAGAGGGAACAAACCCCTTGATCCCATAATAACTTCCACTATTACTACTCCATGACATGGGGAAAGAGGGACCAGCGCCTTTTCTTGGGTTCGTTGAACAAGGCGATTTTTATCCAAATTTCAATCACAGCATGGTGTCTGATAGTGCCATTTAGCTGTACAGACCATGCTGATGTTGATCGGGCTGGTCAATTTAATATCTTCATTCACCGCACATCCTCACCAGTCCATTATCACTGCGTCTAATATATATTTCCTGTTTCTTCTCACCACCTTGAGCATCTATCTTGTGAGTGTGATTTTCGTCATAAAGGGCACAAAAGTATGATAAGAATCATTGGTTTTGATCATGCACTGCCGTGATGAGCAGTGATACATCAATTCATTGACATAATCCCTTCTATCTTGGTCTGTTTTTATTATAGAGTTAGGTCAGATTGTTAGCCACACGTAAGATGGGCTGTCGACACGATATTCAGGGAAGTCCTGTGAACTGATATTCACTAGTCCATTGCCTTCGTTAACATCATCACCACTCACTAATCTCTATGATTAAGCTCCAATCAGCTGACCCTGTTACACAAAATCTATGTGCTTGTGAGCTACGGACTAATCATTTATCAACCTGAACTAAACACAGGAAACCGTAACGAAGACCCTATGTTACTGTAATTTTTGTAGCCAGCAGCTCTTGGAATATTCCCACTGGATCTTTGCACATGTCCAATCCTGTTCCAGGAAATGATTGGCTGTTATCCTTCAATATTAAAAAGCCTATCTTCAGCTTGATACAGTACATCCTGACATATAATGACAGGGCATTATAGTGCCAATCACCAGGCAAGTAGCTCCTGTTCTAACCGTAGAGTGCCATAGTCGTGTGCGTTTTTTTGCCGCAACATTTTACTGGTTCAGTGGCTTTTCAGAAGCAGCGCCACATCTAAAATCTGGATATTCTGATTCTAGTACAAGTAGCTGCTAAATCTACAGCCATAAGGACTACATCCAAATATAAATGGGGACAAAAACAAAAACTTTTCAACAACTAAAAGATGGCATAAAAGACAATGTTCGATTCTGAAATGGAAAAAACAAATAAAAAAAAGGAGGGAAGGGGAAAAGATCCAAGGTGATAATAGTAGAAGACTAGCAAAGCTAACATCAATGTTACTCAAGTGTTAAAGAAATGCGGCTGCAATTTTAAGTAGAAGATGTTAGTTCCACACCAATTTCATCCATCAAATTGGGAAACCACCAGGCACACAGAAACCTTATGTGAACAATAACAAACGTACTTATTGTTTCCAAATCAAAGATACATATCCTCCTTTTTTGAAGAATCAGTTGGGACAAAACTACTTATGGACAACCTTCATCGCCAAGCTTCAATACGCTCCGACCTTGACTCTATAAAGCTACTAATTCCTCGAGTCTTGTTAGAAGGCGGTGTTAAATGAAGTACAGATGACTGCCTGCTAAATTTTCCAGGGCTCTTTCTGAGACTGGAACTACTTGATTGGCCAGCACTTTTCTTTCTGGTACCTGCTTGAACACCGGCCTTAACTCTACGACTGTATGTGTCATTGACTAAGTCAACCTCGGTAGCAGTCCCACAGCAATGATCTCCATTGGCAATTAGCTTTTCAACAGAGGTTGCATAACTGAGGTCTTCTTCAACAGCTATGAAATTGTTTTGACTGGAGTTGTAGGAACTTTCTACAACAGGTTCTTCAGCCATGAAGGCTTGCTCAATTGTTTCATTTTCATTTTCTCTACCTTTGGCACAGGACATCGAAGGGCTGTCATGACCGTTCTCATCAAATGGCTCAAGACGTGAAGAAGGTGACGACTCCACCACAGAATCTTCTCTCTCTCGCAGTGTCCTTAGGATAAGGGTCTTGAGGAAATTCATCACTTGGACAGCATACATTAAGGCAGTCAGAGGATCTGCCAGCTGCAACAAAATTAAGACAAGGGGCCAATGAAATAACCGTTAGTGACTAAGTCTCTGGCTGATCCCTTTGCTGTGCTCTTACATGGCAGAGTACTAGCATGTCGCATCTACGGACATAATTGAAGAAGAGATTGAAAAGGAAAGTGAGAGTTTCACTACTATTAGCTTCCCTGAAATCAAAATAGGCTCTATTCTAAAGAAAAGCAAGACAAATCATTTGAATGCAACAAACAGCATGTAAAAACCAGATCTTAGATAAACACGAAAAATCATTGAAGTTCAGGAACGTCCAAACAACAATAGACATGTACTTGAGTCATGTTCGGTGCAAAAACTGTGGCTACGTTGTGTGCATTCATCTTGTTCAGGTGTTCTTGCTGGACAACATCAGCCATCAGATTGATCGCCCAATCTAATAGAGCAGCTTCTGTTGGAGGTAGATTTCTTGCAAGATTAGCACAATCCTCTTCAGTTCGACATTCTATTACTTGTTCAGGCGATAATGAATCCAGAACCCCTGTTGGAAGCTCTCTAAACCAAGCCTAGACAAACAGATGCCTTCAAGTCAGTATAGCCATGTGTTGAAAGCAAAAAAAAAGAAGTCAATGCGGAGACAAAAAAGGAACACTTTCTACAGATGGAACCCCAGTCTAAGCACAGAAGACAGATGATATGTTCAAAGAAACTGGATTGCAGATGAGATGATGGCAGTGAAATGGGGCGGCCACAGTGCAGCATTTGGTTACAGAGAATGTGGAACTGAAGCTAGAGATCAGGCTGGTAGTGGTGGCACGAAAGAATTGCAGGACCCATGGTTGTAAGCAATCTTCACCGAAAAGCTTAATGATGAAGTACCATAGATCCAGCTTTAATGAAATGACATTCAGAAAATAATTTTGTAAGCATATACAACATAAACAAGTAACTCATACTACTAAGATAGCACCCATCAATTGACACAGGATCGATATGATAACTAGATCATCACAAATTTACAGGCCCATAAACTTTTAGAATAAAGGTTAATTTAATTTTGTTCAGCCTTATACAATTTTCCTCGACTTTTGCTCCCACCAAGAAAAGGAATTGATTGTTGCTTACAATTTTCTCCTGTCAGCTTAATTATAACAAACACAGCTTACAAGGATGTTATATGTGTGATCTACACATGGCAGCATTTCTTCCATTTTTTTCCTTGTTTCACTATCTTCAGTGTAGCATTAACCAGTTCAATTCGCCTCACAATGAATAGGTAATTTTATTCACTATTAAATGTGTGATAATTCATAACTCAAGCAGGTGCATAATGGGGAAATGATCCGAGAATTTATGTTGCTATACCTTGATAAGTCCTGCCAGACAATGTACATCAACCCCTTCTGGTACCACCCCACCATTCAGTTGCTCCCTAACAAACTCCTCCTGACTGTTTTCTGCGGCAATTCTGAAAATCCCTTCAGCCTGAATGCAACAATTAATAATTTGATGGTGACCATAAACAAAATAAAATGAAATCCAACAAATTAAAATTAAAACAAGCCCCAAGATGCCTAAATCAGACAATTTCCCCATCTCTGGAGTCATCATAATGATGCTAACAGAGAAAAATGACAAGGTGATATACCTGCAAGCCTCCATGAGCATACAATCGTCTTTGCATTAGCAAGAGAATTGTTGGCACGCTGTTCCCTCTTGAGTCATATGACAACTGCATAGATTCTGTGGAAACTCCAAAAACAGTTGCGCTGCATAATTAAAAAAAAATCAAATTATTAGGCAAAGAACGAGGCAGCAATTGTACAAGTTAAAATAGTTAACTGCTTTTAATTGGCATGATGTAGAGCTCAGTAGACAGGAATAACTTAAAAACACAGCTTCGGTGCCAAAGGTGGTTTGTTTAAACTAGCAGCGAAACAGAACATTCAACATGTTAAATCCTGGCGTGCGCCTGTCTCGCAAACTGATCAAGCGGGGAGTTTGTGATTACACACATACGACTACAACCATAACCAAGGCACCAGTGCAAGTGATCAAGAAAGGGGAGGGGGCTTCAGTTCATCTGTAATAGTAAAGTTGTGAATAACAATTATTTTCTTATTTATATCACTAACACGGAACGAACAGAATTCAATTCGATAATCAAGAGGGAAACAAGACTTCCATCAGCAGCAGTTAGAACAAATGAATGCCGTAGTGGAATCAAAAGTTTAAGTAGAGTTTGAGAATATTAAATTGGTTAGCTTATAATGTTTGGGGAATTGAGATAAAATAATTTCATCGCAAGGGCTCGCGCAAACAAATTGGGCATTCTGACTTTCGATGAAGGCTGGAGTATGGAACATATACTCCCTTAAACAAATGAAACTTGGTTCCAGAAATTAAGCATTTGTACAAAGGTCCGTGAAGCGATTTCTATGCGTCAATCCATGTAGAACTAAGTTGAAAAGGTTGTGGTATTTACATGGAAAAGTCCAACTTATGTGGATTCAAATAGCTGGCCAGCAGCTACTCCTCATTCCAAGAATATAATGCATCAAAATAAGACGGGAAAGAGGAGTGGTCTGCCACTTCTCCCCAAACTTGGGGAGTTGACAAAAATGGAAGCAAAAAGCTCCAATATTTTACAATAAAATATCAGATAACGCTTTCCATTTTTTTTAGATTAATATAGGTGTTTGGATCAGTTTGCGCGCACCATGATTAATCTCACGGATCCTGAAGTTAACGACCATGTAAGCCTCCAATGGCTATCATATAAGCAACCAAGGACTCGAACTTGAGACAACATAAAAAGCAAACCTCTTAATCCCAAATCTTTACCACTTGACCACCACCTAGATGATTTCTTTCCATATTTGATATAGCTGACGGTTGCTTATGTGCTCAGATCCATGATTCCAACTAACACCGATATAAAACATGGGATAAGAGCAAAATTTATAGGTCAATTTCTCCTATTTGTTTATTGCTACTAAGCTTTTCAGTTGAATATCTTTAGTATTTATTGATTCCAGAAATTGTTTCTGATGCGAAACTTTACAGTTGAATTCTTCTCTCTCTCTCTCTCTTCCCAGAAAATGGAACTTCACAGAAACATCAAACTTCAATGGAGGGGAAAAAAGGACCAAAGAACTTTAAATTAGTTCTAAGAAAATTCACAATTTCAAGACTGGATAAGGCAATAGAACCACAAGATTGAATCCATCACTTGGGTACAACAAGCTGGAAAACATTCCAACATGCAAAAGGGAGAGAGAGAAACCCCGACTTTGACGCAAAACAAGCATCCATAAAAATTAAAACCCAACCCCAGAAAATTAAAATCATAAAGACCAATGAAAAACAGGAGCTTTCACCAATTAACTGCTAAAAAGTCCACGTTTATGAGAACTGCATTTTCAGAAACCAAAGAAACAATCACTTGCCAAAAAAAGAAACTTAACAGTGCCAAGGATTGAAATAACCATAAAAAACACAGGAAGGATAAAAATAAAGAAAACCCGCAATTTCATTTCGATCAAAAAACACAATGTACCTACCTAGCACTGGGAGGCCTCCTGGGGACTTCAGGTTCGAACTCAACAGGCAAACCCAAGAACCCATTAAACCTATCAAAGGTAACATGAGCCACATGGCGCACATTGGTTGGCCAACCAATCTCCATACTAGCACAAAGTTCCCTTCTATCACTCTTGCAAGCCACTAGAGACTTCCTGAAAAGTGCCACAAGAAGAGCCAGTAAAGAAAGCTGATCCCTCTGATTCTTTTCTCTTTGCTTCACCAACTCCACATCATCTTCATCAATGCCATCTTGTGTTAAAGGAGATTGTGGGGGTATACAAGTCACAGAAGAGGAGGAGGAGGAAGTTGGAGGAGGAGAAGAAGGGAAATGTGAAGGGGAGTGAAGGACTTCAGTCATGGCTGGCAAAGAAAAGGTCCAATCTTTTCTTCCTTGAAATATTAATAAAAAACAAGAAAAGGAAGTATTTTTCTTGATTTTCCAAGTCTTTTCTTTAACAAAAGAAGATTTGTTGTTGAAAGAAGTCTTCACAGAAAGAGATTTGTGGAGTTGTATTGAAGGAATAGACTTTCTTTCTTTGTGGGACGTGAGAATCATTAACTCTCGCAAAGAAAAAAAGTTTATGTATTCTTTCTTTCTCTCTCTTGAGAATTGAAGAAGCAAAGTAGATGCTAGAGAGAGAGAGAGGAGGGGGGGATTTGGTGGGAAATAAATTGATTGTATAGAAAAAAGGGAAAGGTAATTAAAAGGGTGCTTAATTAGTAGCTTGAAGTAGAAGGGTTTGATTATGGTGGGTTAATAAATTCTTTGCAGGGATAGCTGTGGCTGTGGCTGTGGCCTCTTTTGTCTTTGACAGCCAACAAAAATCACATTTTTTACAGGGATAGCTGAGCTTTCTCCGTGGGAATTGAAGCGGCCCTGTAGGCTTTATGAGGGGAGTGGGGGCAGGGGGGCCTGGCTCAATCTTGCTGTGAAAAAAACTCTACCATTGGTACGTACGTTAATGCGTGTGAATCGGCGCCTGTATCAAGTAACAGCAGTAAAATATGGCCATGGTAAAGATGAAGATTTTTGCTCTCCCTCCCTGTTACTTCCATTTTCAGACTTGACTGAACTCTACCTAGAAATTACCATGAAATTAAAAATCACTTTTCTTGATGATGAAGAAGCAATATTGTTCAACAGTTGATATTGTCTTTGCTTGTTGAACCAGAAAAAACCTAGATATGTGTCTCTCCAACAATGCAAGACTCGCTTGTTTTGGCATTGGTGAAATCAAACCTTGCCTTAGTTGGCATCCTCTTCTTGAAGTAGATGTGAATAAATGCCATAGATATGCGGGTAGGAGTCGTGTGAGTATGACATTTTGCAAGTTCTCGAATGTGTCGCTAGATTTCATAGCCATTATGCCCCGTTTGTGCTCATCGAGTTAAAAGGTTTGTACATGGTTATTAAACACCCAAGAACGACTCGGATATTATATCGTCGGGTCAACCTGAATCTATGTTTTTTTAATATAAATACCATATAGTATAAGCTCTAATAGCTTGTTATCTTTTCATCACTCGCTAAAAATTGTTAAGCATACAGTCTAGATTAACGTGAGGGAACAAAGAAGTATATGAGTGATAAAAAACATGTGGATCAATTCTTATGAGAATATTATGGGCGTGCTTAGCACCCACGTAATTGATTCAAGAGATAGGGGGGGGGGGAGAGAGAGAGAGAGATGGATGGATCCTTGCTAATATCATCAATGGTGACGACATGATCTTAATTTGTGGATAATCGTGCTACTTTTTTATATTGCTTTACTTTAATGCCAGAACTTATCCTTTGATATTTGTGTAGGATATTTCCAAAACTAGACCCGATTTAAGATCTACATCATCAGCAAGTTCATTTGAATTAATTCAGTTTAAAATAAAATAAAATAATATCATTTAAATAAATAAATAAAAACAATTCTTTTCATTTATCTCGTCTAAACAGACCCCAAATTAATAAATTATCAAGTTGATCAATTAGACCTTGCTGAATCTTACAACCATGTTCATGACTGCTGGTTGAAAAACAAATGCTATGTTCAATGTTCAACATCAATTTTTCGGCATAAAAAAATCGGGTCTTAGATGATAGTCAAGTTTACCTGATAAATTACTTATTAAAAAGGTTTAGTTCATGAATCACATATTGTTGTCAAATTCTATTATACAAATAGAAATTATAATGTTCTGATATTCTATCCAGACAAAAAGCTAAAGTGTTCCACTCTAATGATATGCTTTATTGGAAATTCATGTATGTGGTTAGTTTTCATGACTCTTGGAAAACAACTGAAAGAAAAAAAAGAAGAGATTTATTATAAAAAAGAACTGACGACTAATTACTTGAGAGCAAACTCAATTCTCTGTAGAGAAGAAGCTAGGCAAAAGAAGGACAAAATCTTCAAAATAAAAAATAATGGAAGGCGTGTTCCAATCCTGCTGTTTTCGTGACAAATTGTTGGCCGGCCCACAACTTTTCTTGCACTTGTCTTTGCTTTTGCGTGATTCATGTAAGCTGCTGGCAAGCTGGTGGTTGTTGCTAATTAATACTTGCAAGCAAATTCAACCACCAAATGTCTTGTTCCTTTAGCTACAATAACCAGAATCTGTAGAAGTGGTGAAGACATGGAATTACAAGTGTTTTTGTTTTTTATTTTCGAAAAAAAAAATCACAATCCTTTAAGTTTTCTAGTTATGATAAGATTCTTTTTTATTCAACGTTAAAGATATTTTTAAATTAATTTATGTATTAATAATTAAGAAACTGGGCTCAATCCAACAAATTAATCTAGTGACTTGTTGACCTGGATTTAATACAAGTTAAGTTTTATATTAAATTAAATGACAGTTGAACTGGTTAAACTCAATTATTCAAGCAAACTCCTACTGTTATCTTGTGATAAGAAGTCCTCCGTTTGTTCGTCATCAGAAATTTAAGATCGAACTGATCCAGAGGACAGGAACCAGGACAGAAGTTAAGTGTGTTTTTCTTCTTGCAGAATAGGTTATGGAGAGCAAAAGGGATGGTAGAGAATTCAGCAAGATGAAGGGAATAACAAGGACAACAACCTATTTTGTTATTGATGATTCTGAAATCCCAGATGGGGCTTTGATGGAAATTCTTTTTTAAGACTTCCTCTGAAATCTATATTCAAGTTCAAGTGTGTATCCAAGCGATGGCTTTCAGTGATTTCCGATCCTTATCTTGTCACCTTCTTTTTGGCTCAGCTAAAGAAGGAGAGTTTATCACCAGTATGGGACCTTCTCTTCTGCTACACGTATAATGGAGGTGGTGAGATCTCTGCCTAAGATATGGCTCCTCGTCTAACGTTCAAAAACCATCCGGACTTTAAACCTCGAAATAATCGTCTAACATACACTGTCTAACAATACGAGGGCATGACATTAGCATCAGGTCATTGCTTGCGGCTAACACTTTGATGGATTGATTTTGTGGGTGTGCTTCACTTGTCAGAAATTCCAAGGGAAAAACCTTATGCACCGCTACCTTTATCATGATATCGCTCATGCAAAAATATGGCATGTATATGTCATACTGCCGAGCCATTGTGTATAATGAGATTGTGCATCGGGTTGCTTTTACCTCTGTAATCATAGCTTATGATCCAAATACGACTTCTCATCAACTTGCCTAAAGATGGGCAGAGTCCCGTTGGAGGAGTGATTGGTATGTTTTGTGCGAGCCTCTGTTATCTCCATGTGGATGCAGGTTATTCACGAACCTGATAATCAGGGGCGGAGCAAGAAAAAAAAATTGAGGGGGGCCAAATTAAAAAAATCATTTTAAAAAAATTTGTTTTATTGAAATATATATTAAATGAGGGTCAAAAGAGGAGCTGGGAAAAAAATTGTTGTGTTTTCAAGGAAAGGGCCAAGCAAATTTGTATCTTTAAAGCCATTGTCAAACGCGGAACTACATAAGAATGCCATCCATGGTTTGCTCTATGAAAAAAAAGAAATATCCAAGCACATCGTGTGCAAAAATCTTGCTTATTGGTAGCTACTACCATGGCTCCAAGGGTGATAGAAGCAACTAAAAGTGATGCCTCCTTCATTCTTTTCATTCTTCACAAAAAACAATGGCATCAGTCCCGTACTTCCTCTTGCTTCTTCCCACCAGATTTGAGATACCATCCCAGAGCACCAAGAGCTGTAATAGTACCAGCTACAACTGCATAATTCCGGTATTTGTCAGTTGATACTTTTTCAGTGGATGATCCTGGTGGTGTTGAGGAAGCAGCGGTGCTTGCTTTGACATCAGCTGGTGCCCCACCTGTGCCTGAGGCAGTTGTCTCCTCGGGTTTAGGACCCTGAATAAAATAAACAAGTTTGAGCTTCAAGGAATTGATACAGTTCCATCCAAGAAAACCTAATTAAACACAGTGCAGCCGGTATAGTATCTTTTTTGAGAAAGCTGAAAGGGGTGGATTTTTACCCCAGTAAAAGTACCCCAAACCCAAAGGTAATATTAAATGCTTGAAAAAAATAATCAAGAAGTCCGAAAGTTGCATTCTATTCTGATAATAGCACATACGATGGCAATAACAAAGTTCAAAAGAAAATGTGCTATAACCATACCTTGCGTGCAAGTTTCTCCAGTTTTTCTTGCTCAACTTTCTGCAAAAGCCAAAACAATGTACTGCATCATAAGCTATATGAAAAGAAGTAGAAGTCCTAAGAAATCAGCTATCCTTTCATTAAAATTCTGTAAAACTACTAGATAATAAATTAGATAAAAATATTTAATCAGTTTTGCCAGGGCACCAATCAGACATAATGACATTTATTATGATGTCAGTACAGGCAAGATACTCAATTTTTTTGGCGCAAAAAACAACAATAACATACACACAGGGTTCTTCTTTAACTCTTTTGGTGTCATACACATCTTAATAAAATGCCTCCCAAGTCCCATCTCTTTCTCTCATCTGGTTAAATAATAGGGAAGCACAGTTCTTGACAGAAATAATAGGTAAAAATAACAATTTGAACTTTCAACAGCGAGATTGCTGCTGCCTACAAGAATGAGTTAAAATAATGTGCTATTCCAATGAAAACTGTACCACCAAAAGTCATCACTCATTTTGAAATTAACCATTTTTTATCCGTAACTGGTGGATAAATTTGGATGCTTTAAATCAATGCATCATCCCATCAATTAAAACATAGAAGATGGTAAGCCTCGAAGAGACATTTTCCCTCAACAGACCATTCACTTACTCAATCCTTTCCAGAAAAAATGGTTCAAATGCCGCATAGAACTCGTATGAAAGCTTCTTTTTTTATATATATATTTTTTGTTCCCATATGATTTGTCTCTCTCAAAAAGGAAAGCAAAGTGATGTCAATGCCAAGAAAGCGGTTCATAATTGCACCAAATGAGTTAGCAGTTAAGAGCCACCAAGCCAACAATGGTAAATCAGGCACTAAAATCTAATAGGATTGATAACTAACAGTTCAACACTGCATATATGTCAGTTCACCAAGTTGCAAGTTTAAAGGTAGGCGCTCTTTTTTTTTCAATCAAACTGTAAAGATAGGGATGATGGCCTTTTCAATTTCTTATAATTACAAAAAGAAAATATCAATTTTTGGCATTTAAACATAGCACCTTCAACTTTATTCATATTTTACAAATATAAAAAAAAAAAAAAGTCAAGCATCACTAGTGTGTTTTGCCCACAGCTGTGTGCTGGAGCTGAATGAACATCTTAATTGTACAAACAAACTTTTCAGAAAGGTTTCGTTTTCAACAGAATTTCAACCATATTTCCTCACTTCCTATTTGCTTACTGTCACAGGTTGAATACGCCACTAACGATTTCCCACAGGACAAACTTCCCCTCAAATTGCATTTGCCCTTTTTACTAGAAAACGTAGAATAATAAGGTTTTAGATTGTTTTTTCCACAACTTTTCTGGTAAATCAAATAGTTGCCCGAAAACTATTTTCCTCTTGTTTCACTCTCTTTTACCTCAATCTTCCTAGCAATGACATTCCTATACAAATTTCTGACAAGCACCAGGGGGTGCAAAATATTCCCAACAAGCATCTAATCCTCATGCACTACCAAAACTGAAAACATTTTAATTCCAATACATGCAATTTAAAAAATCCCACCCACTAATAACTACAACCCGCAAACCGAAAATGCAAAACAAACATTAACTTAAGCATTCCACCAACTTACAGAACACAACCAATATCAGTTTCAATCTTTCACAATACCCCACAACGAAAAAAGTTTACAATAAGGTGGTCTAGTAATAATTATTAAGCTAGCATTCAACCCAACAGGCATTGTTTACACCCCATTTCCAACGAACTAACATTTTTTTTTTCTGTTACAAGAGGCTGGTTCTCTATGCTTCTTAGATCACAACATAATCAAAATCCCAAATCCACCAATTCCGCAACTATCACTACAAGCAAGCCTTATTTAGGACTAAATTGCACAAAAAAATGACAGATTTTCTTCGTTATAGCAAAAGAAAAAAAAGGGACTTTTCAGGACAATATCAAAAATAAAATTGATAGGTTTGCAAAACAAAAACCAAGGCAAAAACTGTAAAAAATAAATGCTGGGTTTTTCTTTTATTTATTTATATTACCTTAATGTAAACATTTTCTGCAGCCTTTTCCTCTTCGCCAAGCACTTTACCACCACTCGAAAACCTTCTAAGGACTACACGTCTTGCTGCAGAACCAATTGCCGTCGCCATCGTGAGCACTCCTAATTACCACCTGAAATAATCAACTGATTAACAATTTAAATCGAAGAGATGGCAGTGTTGATAATCTTGGATATTAAATTAGGGATTAAGAGAAATATTTATCAGCTTACTGAGCAAAATATGCAGCACCGATGCAGTGTGGGGGAGGGAGAGCGAGGGAGAGATGGTGTGGGTTTGCTGCTTTGGTTGGCTTATAAGGGGGCTGGCTGGCTTTGCTTGGACATGTTAACGTGGGATAGGAATCAAGTGGAGTTGTCGAGGAAAGAAGATTCTGACCGTTGATTTAGAGTTTTTATGTGGCAATGATGATGATTTTTTAGTGGGACCGGGTGTAGGAGTCATTCAAGGTTCTCCCGTATAAAAGGATTAAAATCCAGATCAATCAAGTTTATTTAATTTAAAAAAAAACATTAAAATAATATTATTAAAAAAAAGTTAAAGAAATAATAAGTTTTAATTAATTGACTGAGCCACGTAATAATCTAGGTTTCTGAACTTATCATACAATTATACTAATTAATTTTTTTATATTTATTTTTATAAAACGAAACCTGACTCTGGTGAGAGGTTAACCTGTCGGCTGTCATACTAAAATGAGTTCAATAATAATGTAAGGAACTTTCTAGTTTCTATTAGGCCATCTTTAGTTTGCGATTGTATCTGATGATTCTGATCTAGACAAGAAGAGAGCGGAAAACGAAAGCTGCAAGAAAAGGTCCCTATATTTTCTGATATTCTCAATTTAGTATCTCCTTCCATATTCATTTATAGATTCATCCAAATTGTGCTTTAGTTTTTGTAATAATGACGTTGTTTGTAGGAAACATTTGTGGAGAGTTTGGCTAAAACACTTAATTGAGAATTTTTTAATACTCGAAGGACTCGATAGAGACAAAAAAAATAATTCTACAGGGACTTGAAAAAGACGAGGTTTCTTCGTTCATTTTTCTTTGCCTTGCAGGTATTTTGCAAAGGGAAAACCTGTTGTTAGTGACCACATCAGATGGTCAGATTTCATTATTGACACAAGCAAATATTGAGCAGATGAATTTGAGCTGAAAAACTCAGCAGGCATTTTAGAAACCAGTGACATTAATTAGCAAACCAGCTGTATCCAGTGGAAGTTGAAGCAAAAAAAACAAAGAGAATTGACATTGATTTTGTTCAAGAAGATTTCCTCTGGGAGAGGTTACAAAGATAGAATGGGTATAATTAAAGGGCATGATAATACATGATACACAGGATTTGTTCTCTCCAGTACATCAACAAATTATCCCATTTCTAGATACATTTCTCCCTTCAAAATGTAACTTGTAGAATCCGTTGGCTAGCTTTTATGGATCTGCAACGTTTCTTCATCTACTCGTTTTTCAACTTGTTGCTCAAAAAACTTTTTGATTTGCCAGTGTAAATAGATTTTGCTAGCGATAAAGCTTTTAATGCTGCAGAAGATGCCTTTCTTTTCCAAATGTTTTTACGAATTCGCTTCTTTGTTCTAGAAGTACGTTTTTTTGGAACAGCAGCAACTGCAGTACAAAAACAAAGAGGTTACATGTTATGCACGTGTGCAAACACACATGCAGGCACAGGTATGAACGTTGCATGCACAAAGCTGAGAATGCTACACACAAATTTTTAAGGTTTTCGTATATAGAAATAGTTGCCCATGATACTGTAAAATGATAGCAAAGGGCAAATTCACAAGCATTTAAAAGTTAGTTTCATCTACTGTGTCCTGCACGCGTCCCTCCTCACACAACAGACAGATTGTTTGTCATGCTTGCAACGAACATGAAGATGTAAAAACCCGCTTCTAGACAAACACAGGTAATATAATAGGAAGCTAAGTTTGACAGGTAACAATACTGATGTTGCAAAAGTTGTATGCCTCAATGATGCATTTGGTGTCAACCACAGAGATATCAAGATGGAAAGTGAAACTGGGATAAGAACTTACGCCTTCCAAGGTCATCCTCGAGCTCATCAATCTCAAAACCGCTTCCAATAAGAGTGTCAAAACAAATCGATGGTATCTGTGTTTTTTTTTTTTTTTTGTTAGAACTCCAAAACTGAGTTGAAGTATAAGATAAAGGAGAGAGGTCTGAAATAAGAACATAAACCATGCTTCCAATCAAGGAAAGGAAAGGGGCATCCTTTTAACAGGACAAAAGAAAAAAACATTATGCTTAAATATTCAAACATTACCTGATCATCCACTATTTCTGCCTCTACCACTCCTGCGTTGCCAAAAATTATGCAAGGATAAGTTAACTAGTTCACAGGAGCCCATAAAAACCAAATGAAAATACAGAAAGGCAACACAAATCAGTGCTAGCAACAATGTTTCCTAGATCATCCGCATGACAGATTTTATCCTTGGGGGCACCATGTGTTAGATAGTTAGGATTAGTATGTAATCCTGTTATCTGAATTTCAAAAAGGCAATCAAGCATCATGATTGTTATGCATTAATCGAAACAATTTAAGAACCACAACAGAAACACTTAGCTGCAAATGCAGTGCTTTCAAGTCCTACCTGTTGAAGTGCATCCATTTGTTGTATCACCGTAGAAATCCTAGTAAAAAGTCGCCATTTTTCAAAAAACAATATCAGAATATGGAAAGCAACCTGTATTCAAGTCCAAGCATGATGGAAGTTAAAGGCCAAGAACACTCACCCCTGTAATAAGACCAGTAGCATGAACATTCACAGCTGTAGAACCTATTTAGAGCAAAATGCAAACTTCAATAATAGTAAAATTTGCCATGGTTATCTAACTTGGGAAGTTAAAAATTCAAACTTCTCAGAAATGATGCAACAAAAACACAATAAATTAGTTCACTGAAGTCTCAGAAGTGCATTCATCACCTAAATTCAAGCTTGAAACTAAATAATTTCAACAGGAAATTGAAAACAACAACATTTTCAGTTAATTTTCGAAGATTAAACATCAAAGAGCAAAAAATAACAAATATATTAAACATACATGAACTCAGCAAGGCCAAAATCATAATGCAGTTAAGACGGAACCCATCAAAAAACAAATTCAATAGAGAGAACCCATTAACCAGAAACAAAAACCAAGCACGCGCATTTACTCTTTTTCTCTAATTTAAAAGGGAGAGAGAGGCAGACCACTGGAGGTGCCATTAAGGACAGCACCAGCAGCTTTCTTCTTGGTAGCAGTCTTGGCAGAGAGAGAGAAAGAAAAGGATTGAAGTGGGAGACTAACGGAGACGCCATGGAATGAGGAATGATTAGAGGGAAGTGGAGAGAGGAGAGAGTGAACCGTTGGTTGAGATGCTGTGAGTGTTGCGGGGGCTGCCATGGCTACTGCTGTTGCATTTCTTACGATTTGGGATAGGATAATAATAAAGAGAAATTCTGTAGATAATGTTTAGTGAGCTGGGCTTTCCCGGTGGAGTCTACTCTGGAAATAAAAGGCCAGTCTTTGCCATTATAGCCCGGTAAAGCTTTGGACTTTTTTATATAAGAAAACAAAAGCCCAATACGAGGTAGGATTTGATAGAAAAACGTAATAATGATAATAATTTTGTGTTAGTTATTTGCAAATAATTTACTTGGTTTTATTTATTTTTCATTTCAATAATAGAGGATATTTTAAATTAAATTGATAAGACTAATTTTTACTTGATTTGGATATATTTAATAATTAATGTCGATTTCAGTATTTTAATTTATCTTTAAATATAGGAGTGGATTTTTTTTGTTGACTGTATAAAAGCTTTCTTTGAATAACATGTAATTAGCTAACTCTAATATAGTAATAAAACATGACAAATCCTCGCAAAAAATAATCACACGAGGCTTATAATTTAAACCACTAAACTATTACTTGTCAGTTTTCATAACCCACTTTTCAGATTAAAACCTTAAAATCTCAAAATATATATAGATTGGAAGAAAAAAAAGTTCATTTAGGAGTCAACTATTACTTGCACTATGTTACAGGTAAAATTAATTAATTTAGATATAAAAAATTATTTAGGTGTTATAAATATGTTTTATAATAAAATAAAAATTTTAAATCATGTGAGGTTAACCCGACTAATTTGATAAGTTTAAGTATATTTTAGATAATAATTAAAAATTTAATTTAATTTAAAAAACAAAAACAATTTTCTTTTTATGTTAAGATAAGGAATATATTTGACCAATTAAGATTAATTTGAATTAATTTATTAATTTTACAATTCAAATCATGAATCAATCAAAATTCGTGAAGAGTAAATAAAAATAAAAAATTTAATTTAATTTTTATTGAACTTCATATTAAAGTATATTTAAAAAAAAAAATTGAATTAATTCGGGTCAATCTACCAAAATATCTTGATTTATGTATCACTACTTAATTTATATTATTAAAATAACTTCATAATAAAAAAATAAAATAAATAATGAAGTTTAATTTTCAATCAATTACTTATTATTATGATATAATGAAATTGAAAAAAAAATCCAACTATACAAGAGAAGAGAGATGAACCGAATTAACCTACATTAATCTATTAAATTTTAATTATACTGAGATAATTTTACAGAAAATAATTAAAAAAATATAAAATTTAATTTCAATTCAACCAAAAATTAAAGGAGAAGGTTGAAAAAAATAAACTAAAAAAATTAAAAAATAAAGTTAATTTTTTAAATTTACAACTTGAATTATAATATCATAATAAATAAACCTAAAAAAGAATATTTTCACATAAAAACTTAAAATAACGTAAAAAAAAAAAAGGAAATGGAAAAAAAAAGTGTGAACAAGGAGAGAAATAATCCTCAATCAGTTTCTGTTAATTAATCATTTAAATCTTGTAACAATTTTTGAAATTAATACATCATTGAAAAACCCTATGCTTTCAACATTAAGTTAATGGATTGGAATTTGGAACATGAATAAATTTAAAGAAGAACACGCTTGTTGGAGCACAGTTATCAAACAGTGGCAGATCAATTCGTTAAATTTAATTTAATGTTGATCTGTTCAGAAAATCGAATGATTTTTTATTTATTTATCTAAAACGAGGATGTTTTAGATAAAACAGTAAAAAAACACGACATACATGGGTTAATAACCCACTGATCCAGAGTTAACCGTGTCCCATGCATAGCCATGACTCCCGAGTAATTAAATTGACATTTCCTAAAAAAGGCCTGCAAGACCACCTCTGCCACGTAAAGATGAATTCCACGTGGCCC